TTTTTAAAAACTGCTGATGTCTTTCCAAAACGTATGTGTGAAAGCCGAGTAGATTTGCAGTCATGTGACCTCATCGGCAGTCGAAGGAGCCTGAGCCAGTCCTGCAACCGAGTAGATCCTGTACCGACAACGGCGATGAGAACGGATATTGAATTACCGGAGTAGTTCAACCGAACTCCGACCCCGCTAGCCGGATGTCACTACCGGAGGTGCAGACATGTTTTGGACCTCATGACTGAGAAGACCCGCGACCTGATCTGGACACAGGGGAGGACTCTGTTCATCTTCAGAAGCAAAATCGGTAAATTTACACCGTTGTCGTCATCTTCCTCCACTTATCCGGGTCCGGGTCACGGGGGCAGCATCCCAATTAGGGAGCTCCAGACTGTCCTCTCCCCGGCCTTCTCCACCAGCTCCTCCGGCAGAACCCCAAGGCGTTCCCGGACCAGATTGGAGATGTAACCTCTCCAACGTGTCCTGGGTCGACCCTGGGGCCTCCTGCCGGCAGGACATGCCCGAAACACCTCCCCGGGGAGGCGTCCAGGAGGCATCCTGACCAGATGCCCAAACCAACTCAACTGGCTTCTTTCGATCCGGAGGAGCAGCGGTTCTACTCCGAGTCCCTCCCAAATGTTCGAGCTCCTCATCCTATCTCTAAGGCTGAGCGCGGCCACCCTACAAAGGAAACTCATTTCGGCCGCTTGTATCCGCAATCTCGTTCTTTCGGTCATTACCCAAAACTCATGACCATAGGTGAGGATTGGGACGTAGATCGACCGGTGAATCGAGAGCCTGGCTTTCTGGCTCAGCTCCCTCTTCACCACGACAGATCGGCTCAGTGTCCGCATCACTGCAGACACTGAATCAATCCGCCTGTCGATCTCCCGATCCCGCCTACCCTCACTCTTGAACAAGACCCCGAGATACTTAAACTCCTCCACTTGAGGTAGGACCTTTCCCCTTCAGGTAACCCTTCTTAAAGATGGGGACCACCACCCTGGTCTGCCACTCCACAGGAACTGCCCCTGGTGTTGCAGAGACGCGTCAACCATGACAGCCCTACAACATCCATAGCCTTGAGATACCCAGGACGAACCTCATCCGCCCCCGGGGCTCCGCCGCTGTGTAGTTGTTTGACTACCTCAGCAACTTCTGCCCCCGAGATTGGACAGTCCATCCCCAGGTCTCCCAGCTCTGGTTCCTCCTCGGAATGTGCATAGGTGGGATTGAGGAGCTCCTCAAAGTATTCCTTCCACCGTCCGACTATAGCCCCAGTTGACGTCAGCAGCTCCCCATCTGCACTGTAAACAGTGTGAGCGAGTTGCTGCCTTCCTCTCCTGAGGCACCGGACAGTTTGCCAGAACCTCTTTGGAGCCGATCGATAGTCTTTCTCCATGGCCTCACCAAACTCCTCCCACGCCCGAGATTTTGCCTCGGCAACTGCCACTGCTGCACCCCGCTTGGCTATCCGGTACCTGTCTGCTGCCTCCAGAGACCCACAGACCAGCCACGCACTGTAGGCCTCCTTCTTCAGCCTGACGGCTCCCCGAACCTCTGGTGTCCACCAGCGGGTACGGGAGTTGCCACCATGACTGGCACCGGCCACCTTGCGACCACAGCTAGCAACAGCCGCCTCAACAATCGCAGAGTGGAACAAGGCCCACTCGGAGTCAATGTCCCCCACTGCTCTTGGGACGCGGTCAAAGCTCTGCCGGAGGTGGGAGTTGAAGACAGTCTTAACAGGTTCTTCTGCCAGACGTTCCCAGCAGACCCTCACTATGCGTTTGGGTCTGCCAGGTCTATGCGGCATCTTCCCCTGCCATCTGATCCAACTCACCACCAGGTGGTGATCAGTTGACAGCTCCGCTCCTCTCTTCACTCGGGTGTCCAAAACATACGGCCACAGGTCAGATGATACGACTACAAAGTCTATCAACGACCTGTGACCTAGGCTGCCCTGGTACCAAGTGTACCGGTGGGCATCCTTATGTTCGAACATGGTGTTCGTTATGGCCAAACTGCGGCTTGCACAGAAGTCCAATAACAAAACACCGCTTGAGTTCAGATTAGGTGGGCCGTTCCTCCCAATCACATCCCTCCAGGTCATGCTGTCATTGCCCACGTGAGCATTCCCCCAGCAGGACAATGGAGTCCCCTGATGGAGCACTATCTAGCACTCGTCCAAGGGACTCCAGAAAGGGTGGGTGCTCTGAACTGATATTTGGCCCATAAGCACAAACAACAGTCAGGACCCGTTCCCCGACCCGAAGGCGCAGGGAAGCTACCCTCTCGTCCCCCGGGGTAAACCCCAACACACAGGCAGAGAGTCTTGGGGCTAACAAAAAGCCAACCCCGGCCCTCCGCCTCTCACCCAGAGCAACTCCAGCAAAGGAGAGTGTCCAACCCCTCTCAAGGACTTGGGTTCCAGAGCCAATGGTATGTGTCGAGGTGAGTCCGACTATATCTAGCCGGTACCGCTCAACCTCTGCCACAAGCTCCTGCTCCTTCCCCACCAGAGAGGTGACGTTCCATGTCCCATAAACCAGTTTTCTTGTACGGGAATCAGACCGCCAAGGCTCCCGCCTTGGTCTGCCACCCGATCCACATTGCACCGGACCCTTCATGACAAAATTCCTTAACACAATTTACTTTTGTTAAATATTTCATTTCTGTGCTCGTAGCTCTTCCACCAGGAGCTCTGAGCTGATAAGTTCTCAGCTGTCCCAATATAATTCAGTTATCTACAGATAAATTAAATAATGTGCTGACAATTTTACTGCTGCGAGTATATGTTGATCACTCCGGAAAATCTTTAACCAATAGCTTACCAGAATAAATCTTCCTGCTGCTGGAGTAACTCATTAGTTTGACTCGTTGTTTGCACTAATCCAGGATGGCACAGAGGTTCCACCAATCCACGGAGGATTTATTGTTGAAATATGGGGATCATCTTTTGGATTATATCACATGACTTGTTTTTTTCCTTATCGGAGCTAACACTGTTAGCAGTGTTGCTGCAGTCATGCTAACGGGACTCATCTAGAGTCCAGAAGTACCGGTGCGGTTCCAGATGGATTTAGGTTATTATTTTAGATGAAACCTATGTTATTCAAAAATTTGTGTAGGACACGGACGTGGCAAAGACCTTTTACTGCAGCTGTAAACGCAATTTTCTGTGATAATTAAGAGCACAAAAATAAACAAAACGGTTATTCACAATACTAGCAACAGCAGCTACCGCGTTCTACGTGTTGGAGTGAGTTTAAACTGAATTTCCACCATTTTAATGCTGAATCTGGCCAATGCCAATAAAAGGCTCAACAGTGGTTAAAGAGCACAGGGTCTGGGGTAAAGCATTTCAAAGTGAGGAGGCCACTGCCTGAAAGGCCTGATCACATCTGGTCTTAAACCAAGTTTGGGACACTACTAGTAGCCGCTGGTCTGAGAATCTAAGAGATTCAACGTAGTTGTGAACTGTCAGTAGATCAGTGATATAGCCAGGCGCTTGACCATGTAACGCTCTAAAAGTAAGGACCAGGATTTCGAACTGGATCCTATGGAGCACCGGTACTCAATAGGCGCCTCAATAGCTCCCCCTGCAGAACCACAAGCCCCCCCACACACACACACACACACACACCCCACCCCCACCCTCCCATCTGATGATGCAGCAGCAGCAGCACCCCTCCCCCACCACAGGTCCAGACCTCACGCTTCCAGGTCGTTTTGTTGAGTGGCCCTCGTAGTCTGGCAGCAGAGTTTTGCACCAGACAAGAATGCAATGTGGTCTTAGCCATTCAGTAAATGCTTGATTTATCATTTATCTGGGAACCAGAACATTTTTGGTAAATGGTCTTGGTGTACCAACACAATCGAACATAAAAATCCCAAACAGCATTGGCGTATCGCTGGTCACTTAATTTGGTGATGGTCAGAACCCAATATGGAACGAGTACTCAGCCAACTATGGCTTTTACCAGCTGGTAACTGCTGCTTGCCAGCTGCCCGTGGGCTCAGGGTGACTTTCGTTCAGCCGCCACAAAGACTTAAGATTCTTGAGATAATGAAATCCAGGATAAAGAGCAATAGGGGGGTGGAGGAAGTGATGAATGTCAGCAGGTAGGCAGCCAGATGGGCCATAGGGACCCCCAGCTGATCCCTGTGGAGGCACAAGCAGCCAAGTTCAGCAGTGAGCCACCCAGCCCCGTGTCAGCACTTTGGGGAGAAGCTGAGAAAAGTGCTGAGGCAGCAAGCACATGGGGAGATGAGGTGAAGTGGTGAAAAATTAACTAGCCTGATGAAAGTTTAAGTGTGCATGTTAAGCAGGAAAGAGTGGAGAGAATGGCAGAAGGTGACCGTGTGGGGCACTTTCTCATAGTTTTTCCCGCAAGACTCAAATGACGGTTCGTGTCTCAAACTTGATCATGACACTGATTTCACCTGACACCTCAGGATGCGGTGCAGTCACCTTCTGACCCTAGTTTGACCTCTACCGTAACGTCAAACCCCACTTCCAGTTACTGCTTCTGGATAATTGGCTGTGACGGTGCTGTTTTGTTTCAAGGACAACGGCTGCATTCCTCTGCACTGCAGTCTGGCTGAGAAACATGCCAGAGCCTTAAAGCAATTCTCGTTGACTGTTTTTCACACAAAGTTCCATTCAAAGCAACCCGTTACCTCTGTGGTTGGTGGGGAAATGTTCAGAACAAGACTCTAACGGAGTGATTACATAAGCCCGGGTAACTGTCTTGCTGTGGGGATACACACTCACTAGACAGTGTTGATGGAGTCTTTCACAAGCCTGGTGGGGTGTTGATTAGGATTTGCTCACCTGCAAGGACCAGATGCTGAAACAAACCCAAATGTGCTTTTGTGTTTTTGATTGTCACTGCCTGTTGCTTTGTTGTCTCTCGTCTGTGTGAAACCACGTCACATCTCTCACTGCTTTCACCTATTTCTGTCCTACCTTTGCATCACTTATGTCTTCTGTTGACTCCCAGGTGCGGTGCGAGCCTCCAGCATCTTCCCCATCCTCAGTGTCATCCTACTTTTTATGGGAGGCTTGTGTATAGCTGCCAGTGAGTTCTACAAGTCACGCCACAACATCATCCTCAGTGCAGGGATCTTCTTTGTGTCTGCAGGTGAGGCTAAGAGCAATTAAACAAGACACACCATCTGTTTGTAATGGTTGAGGTTAACGTGACAATGTTGTTGATTTATCTGGTAGCTGAATGTAACAATTCTCCAAAAAAATAATAAAACTGCTCCAACCTGGATTTTTTTTATTTGCATCTCAACTTTTGCTGCTTAAATTTCTTCAGAAATTAATTCTGTCCATTTCTGCAGCTATAAAACAACTTATTTTGTATTCTAGTATTTTCTCTTGATTTAGTTGCTGGGCTAAAAGTTGCCCTTTGGGATTTATCTCTAAAAATATGTTGTCCCTGACACAGATTCTCTCCATCTTTCAATGCATGTAAAATTTTTTATTGTCTGTGATTGAACAAAGCAATTATATCATACATGCTGGAGGATAATAAGCTCCTGTGGTTAAAACATGCAGCTATCCTATTTCTTGTTGCAAGTTTGAAGATTAAGGCTAGTGTTGGCTGGGGAGTTGATGAATTGATGCCTTTGGAACAGAATGCCAATCAGAGCTCAGAATGTACGATATATTAAGCCAGGCATACACTGTGCGACTTTTTTACCCGTAGCTTTCAGCTCCAGCTCCAACTTGCAGAGCAAATCTCACGAGTCATGTTCTCACATTATACGACCCAGTTCTCAGATTCAGCCTGACTGCTCGCGCTGTACATCTGGTAGCAACACGTCGGACCTTCAAGTCTAAAAACTCAGAAGACACGGAGGCTGTTGTGTTTTCATTTATGTCTGTTGTCCTTCGGGCTTGCCGTAGGAGGACACACAGGGGTTTATGGGAGTTGGAGGAGGAAGACAAAAGAAAGAAAGAACAATGTTTTGGGATCAGTTTAATTTGATCTAAACACGGCAGACACACTTTCTTGACAATCTTTGTCGTTATGTGTGGAGAAACGTGTAAAAACATGAAGAAACGACATGCGTTGATATGAAAATGGCTGGCGAACCGTGTTGACACACGCGCTGTGTGTGCGGTTCTGGTTTGGGCCGCGGCTCTGCTTCAACAGTGTCATAACATGTTTGATATACGTGCGACCACACGATTGCTGATGGGGAGCTGGTCGTGAGGTGTTAATCGTTCTCGTTACCCTTTGTATACTACCCGATGTACAACAGAAGCTCACCCCAACCTCAAAGATTCTCACACGAGAGGAAAAGCGGCTCAAATCAGTCAAAAAATTGCACAGTGTACACCTGGCTGTGATGAACTGAGCTCAATTTAACTGATATGTTGAATCTTCTCTCCTTGTTTTTATTCCTTCATCTTCCCATGGATCCTTACCCAAACTTACCCTGCTTCTCCTGTTCACTGCCCACCCTGCATCTTCCCACCCATTAGGTCTGAGCAACATTATCGGGATCATCGTGTACATATCAGCCAACGCGGGGGACCCTTCAAAAAGCGACTCAAAGAAAAATAGCTATTCATATGGCTGGTCCTTCTATTTTGGTGCCCTATCTTTCATCATGGCTGAGATGGTGGGCGTCTTGGCCGTGCACATGTTCATCGACCGCCATCGACAGCTGCGAATAGGGGCACGCGCAGCCGACTACCTCCAAGGCTCGGCCATAACGCGGATCCCCAGCTACCGCTATCGCTACAGGCGCCGTTCGCGGTCCTCTTCCCGATCCACAGACCCATCACATTCCCGCGACACCTCACCAGTGGGCCTCAAGGGCTTTAGTGCGCTTCCATCCACAGAGATCTCTATGTACACACTCCCCCGGGACACCCTCAAGTCGTCTGGAACGCCCACCGCCACCTACAACTCTGAGAGGGACCACAACTTCCTTCAAGTCCACAACTGTATCCAGAAGGACATGAAAGACTCGAGCCACACCAACACAGCGAACCGTCGCACCACGCCTGTATGAGAAAGTTTACACAGGCCTGTAAGCCAACCAGAGATCAGGAGACCCAGGAACCCCGTGTGCGCTGTACACTCCTGGAGAAGTTGGATTTCCATGGTTATAAGCATTTGTTTGTTTGTTTGTTTATTGTTCAGCTGCATGACTTTTTTCATAACCATCGCTGAGAAGGCGTTTCATCGAGTCTACTGTGTTCCTGGATTGAACGACAGAAAAGTGAGCATGGGTCAGGTTCTCCAGAGAAAGTGAGATCTGTCATTGTTGGGACAGGATTTGATTAGGAGGATCAGGGCTCTGAAGGGGGAGGGGCATTAATGAGACTCGGAATCAGTTCCATGATTTCATTGCCCTTTTGTTTGACAATTTTGCCCCACAACATTGGTTGGAGGAACAGGTCAAGCTCCCCTTTAGCCAACCCACCACTCTAAACCTTTTTGTTTTATTGACTCGTCTGTTTGTTTGTTTGTTTGTTTGTTTTTTGCATTAAAACTGTGAATTGTTACAGCTTGGGATTCAGTATGAAGTACCCCAATCTGTAATCTCTAACAAAGGTACTACATATATATATATATATATATATATATATATATATATATATATATATATATATATATATATATATATAAACTTTTATAAATAAAATTATTACATTAATAAGACTTTACTAAAGCAAAAAAAGAACAAAACTCTACCAAGTGCTGCCGACAACGGGAGAAAAGACATTTCTGATCTCTAAATTTGAAGGTCAAGAACTAGCGTAGGTTCTTCAGGTAGCAGCATTACAGCAGCTGACAGTCAACAGTAGAGTAATATTTATTCTCTCAATAGAACCTTCTCGCCTTTTTCTAAGTCTCTGTTCTCTTTCTTTTTGAGGGGTGGAGTTGTAGAACCCCTCAACAGAACCCGGCAAAGACCCCAAACAGGATTCTGCCAAACAAAAAGAAAGAAGCAGAGTGGAAGAAAAAGAAGAGGATGCCAGACACAAAACTAAAAACAAGATAAATATCAAATAGAACAAGAAAAGCTAAATGACTCAGTTTCAGAAATTTAGTGCATGCTATAAAATTACAGCAGATCTGCTCTTGAGAGCTTAAGTTTTAAAGGTTAATAATTATAAGGGGAAAAGGCGCTAGTTTAAAGTATTAATGTCTTTGTGTTTTTTTTTTCCCTTTTCTTTTTTAGCAGAATTTTTCTCTTTGCATTTGTGAGCCAAACCAAACTATTTACATGGAACAAAACAGCTTTTTTAAATGGTTTGGTTGATTCATTCATAAATATATAAAACTATGTCTGTATGTGTTTTATTTTGTTTTTTAAAAACTCACACAGCCTTAGTCATCTCTTTTGTTTCTTTTGATTTCTAATGTGTTGTTCAAATCGAAAATGAAATCTTAAAAGGTGCCAAAACCGAATGATCCTACACTTGGATGCATCAAGTCCTGATGAATAAAATACAAACCCAAGGGGGAACAAATCAGCATGTTTCTCTGCGTGTCTTTAACACACTTTACCCAACAACACCCCCTTATTTTTCAGGGTTTTGGTGCTAAGTCTGTCTGTTAAATCTTATTTATATCTGCAAAGATGTTCCAGATCATCATCAATGTAATAAAAGTGAATCCTAAATAATAAACATGGGTTTTTAAAAGAAAATAGGCTAGAAATTTGACATTTATTCTAATTGATCATTGGTTTTATAATGTTTGGGATGAGAAGGAAATTGTTTTTGACAATGAGACTTGGAGACTAGAGACTACGTGTACTAGGGTTAATTACTGAGTATGTGCAGCTGAGACAGTTACAAATTGGAGCAGATGTGAGTAGAACAGCAGCATGAGGGGACCTGATGCAAACACACTTATTACCACATATTCATCCTCAGTAAGGTCACACGGAGCTAGTGCCTATCTTCAGCAGCCATCGAGTGAGAGGTGGGGAACACCCTGGACAGGTCACCAGTCCATCACAGGACCACACAGAGACAAACATCTAGTCACACTCACTCGCACAATTTGTAGAGGCTCCTATAAAACAAGCATGATTTTGATCTGTGTGAGTAAATCAGATAACCCAGAGAAAATTCGATGGTGGCACCAGAGTTAAGTGTTCACCCCGTAATCGGAAGGTTGCAGGTTCGATCCCCAGTCACTCTGTCGTTGTGTCCTTGGGCAAGAAACTTAACCCACCTTGGCTGCTGGTAGTGTTCGGGGGGACTGGTGGTCAGTGTGCCCCAGGGCAGCTGTGGCTACATCGTAGCTCATCACCACCAGGGTGTGAATGGGTGAATGACTGATTATGTTCTAAAGCGCCTTGGGGGGGGGGGGGGGGGGGGGGGGGGTTCCAGGACTCTAGAAGACGTTATATCAAATACAGGCCATTTAGCATCTAACTCGTGGGCAGAACGCGCTTGCTCTGTGCAGATAGGCTGCTGCAGGAGAACCAGTGCTGCCAACTATGGACCTTGATATAAGATGCCATTAGAAACTGCACCACCACACAGCTCTGATGGAAACAAAGCCCTGTTGAAAATGCAGGTGACACTAAAAATGTTTAAATATGGTGCAAAAGTACATTTATTTCAGTAATTCAACCTAAAAAGTGAAACTAATAAATGCAAAACCAGATATATCAAACATGGTCTCAGTCTAAGTTAAATAACTGAAATAAATGGACTTTTGCAGGAAGCATAAGTGATGATACACTGAATCTAGTAACTCCACGTAACTGTTCCCTCTGAAAAAACCCAAACCGCGACACACAGGTAGAAACTTTACAGGAAACATAGAGTAGATGTTATCAGTTGACATTTTTTTTTGGCCCTCTGAGCAGATCATGTGGTTCATTCATTAAAGTAAAAATTTTAACAATTAAAATGTTAACTATAACAGCTTGTGTGTTGTGCTTTTAGTTTTGAAAAGTACACAGAGTAAAAGAATATTGTCAGAAATTTGAAAAAGTTGCGTTAACTCTTAAAATATTGGCCTCGGCCCTCACACACTCGTAAAAGTAAAAGCTGAGCTGACAGATATAAAACCTTGTATGCTCTGCTGAAATCACGGCCTCAGCCTTCTGTTGTAAAGTGATGATAACGCGCTCTAATCGACCACTGGGAGCTGTAATCCAGAAATATCAGTTTTGGCCATCAAATAACTGAGTTTACTGCATGTGCAGAACAAGAACATCTTCTCTTTCAGTTAACTCGAGCAAAAGAGGAAGCATGTGGGAGCTTCGACTCCTGCTGCACAGAAACAGCTTTTATATATCAGCTTCCTTTATTTCTCTTGTACTCTGAGAAAAGCCTAAGAACAAGCAGCTTGTCAGCCACCTTGGCTTTCTTGGACACTTAATTCTCAAGAGAGATACATGGGTTTGCAATAACGCTGCCAGGACTTTTCCTCTTTTTTTTTTTTTTTTTTTGGTTTCCTCTTTTTTTTTTTTTTTTTTTTTTGGTTGTTGGAGGTTTCCCTGCAAAGAGAACACCCAACACCTTTCTACTCCACTACACTAACCCTTTGATGCATGAATTATGAAATCTTCAACCATGATTTTTTTAACAATTTTTTTCATTCATCATTAGGTGTGAATGAAACAAATTTCAACAAATATTTTTTGTAAAATTTTATAATTTACAAATAATTTATTACATGTCCACCTCAGTGGACAGCATGCATTCTGAGCATGAAATATGTTGGCTTGGCTTACTGAAGTCCAAATGGAGGGGCTCACATGCAATAAAGTCTTTAACAGCTGTGCTTAATAGCAAAAACAAATAAATAACAATTTTGAGTACCTGTCCACTGTAGTGACCATTATGCACCAAAGGGCTAGAAGGATTGCTTTCCTCCGGCTCTGAGTGTGTTTGTGTGCGTAGGGTATGCTGCTGGTACACAAAGTGAGACAAAAAGTTATTTTTTTCATCCTGTTTCAAGTTTAGATCATTCCCAGGAATAAGTGAAAACCAGAGTTCAGAATACGATTTTAACAACAACAAAAGATCCTGGTGATTTAAATCTTTAAATTCGAGAAAGGAATGAGTTAACAGATGTGTGCAAGGTGGTTTTTATTTTTAGAACTCGGGAGAAATAATTTTACAAGAACAAAAAGAGAAGATGATTGATTGTTAGCGGTTCTCACAAAACACCACCTGACCCCAAAGCAGCGGTCTAAATGTCCCATTTCTTATGTTTTCAAACAAACGTTTTTCTTTTTCCCCCTGAGAACTTCCTCTCCACAATCTAAAGTCTACTTACAGCTTTTGAGGCAACATCTCATCATGTCCCATCATTTGCAGATGGAGACAAATGCTCAGCTGTGGGCCACAAGCGGGTGCGGGGAACCGATTTTAACTTCTGTTTTTTTACAGAAGAACGGAAAAGGTAGAATTTAGGAATACAATACTCTCTTAGTGAGAAAACAAAAGTAAATAAATGCTTGCCCATAACTTTATTACAAAAAATATTTAGAAAATAATTTTTTGTTCTTAATCAGAAAAGGCCATTCCTCTCATATAAAATGTTCCGAATCTCCTCATAAGACGTGAGACCGCGCATCAACAAGTAAAAATGTTTATGTTTAAATGTAAAAAAGAAATGTGTGACTGAAAAATTATCTGTTAAATTACATTTTATGACCATTTTAAATTTTGCGTCATTTACTGCAGATTCATCAGCCAGACTCCTCCTGAGCTCCCGCCACAATAAAAGTATCATTTAGAGATTTCTTTTGCAGTAGGCTTACCGTAGTTAGCCTAAGACTTCAAATAATTATGCACATTTCAGAATGTGACGTTAACCATTTCTAAAAGTAGATTAGATAATCCTGACTCCAGTGATTGATCGTCTATCACTGATATTATGAGGAAAAACCCCAAAATGAAGAGATTCTCGACTAGCAAGGCCCTCGGCCTTTAATTGTTTAAATTGGGATAATTTAACGTAGCAATTATGTTGGACCGCCATCTAAGTTCAAAATGTGTCGACTTTTTTCTCTTCTTTGCAAGCAAAAGACTGTATAAAACAAGTGTGATAATCTTGTTAGTTTGGAGTTTTAACCTGCTCTTCATCATTTAACCCCTGCTCTTTGTTCCTCCTCGCTCTGCTGTTTCTGCTGTGGTGATCAGAAATGTGGAGGGGGGGGGGGGGGGGGGGGTCCACTGGAAGGAGGCAGTGAGGAGATGAGGTCCTGCTTCCTTGGCTGGGAATATTAAGGGCAAACAATCAGAGTGAGGCAGTAGCAGGCTGCAAGGTTATAATCTCACATCAAACCACTCTGTGACCTTACGGGACCGCGCTCTGGGACGGGCACCCCGGGGAGCTGCACCACCCAAAAGTTGCAGAGAAGTGTTATAACTTTCTGCAGTCACTCACTGAGGTTAACTGCTCTAAAAATGAATGCAATATGCAGAAAATTGTGGATTTTATTTTTGTCTCAGAGAGCATGCAAGCACTGAATCTGCATGTGCAAGCTTGTGTGTGTGCTGCTGTTTGCACTGACCACAGAAAAGGTCCCGACTGCGCTCCCTCTGAGTTATTTTTTGGGATTTTAAAGTTGAGTGGCAACACAAAGCTGCAAACACAGTCCTGCAGATTAAAAAGTAAAGCTTCATTAGGGCAGATATGGTCAGAAATGACATTTTCATATAGTCCCTACTGCTGACATAAGCAGCTTCGTTTGTGCACATGCACCTGTGCGGAGCAGGGAGTCAGCCTCAGCTGTTACTCCTATTTGACAGATCATCTGAAGCTTTTGAAGCCAGCTCAGAATAGTGAACCGTTATTAAAAATGAGATAAAGAGGAGGAATCAAAGTAGGCTACAGCTCACAGAGTGGATGCATGAAGCAAATGAAGCGCAGTGCTCCACCCTCTGGTGGTCTGATGGGATGCTGCTGCTGCTGCTGTCTCCATCAGCTCAGGGAACGCTGTGTCCATGAACGGGCCTGGAATACTGATGCCACGGTGCAGAGGTGCAGGAGCTGCAGTCTGAACGGCCCCAGAAAAACACTCAGATTCAGCATCGCCTGCAGAGATCCACAGCTCTGATGCCAAACCGCTTTGGTTGGGGCCGATTGGGGTTTTGAGATCTTTCACTAATAAAAGCCAGATTTCATGTTTTAAACATGTATGCGCAGGCAAATAGATTCAGAAATGATATTTTTCCTCGTCTTGGTTTTTTGGGCATAAAAATAAACAAAATGATTCTCCAGATGTAGGGCGTTTAAGCCAATAACCACATCCAGGTGATGCGTCCTGGGAGTGAAGGTTTTCAGGAGATATAGAAGACGGAGAGTTCTGGTGAGTGTGGTGGAACACTCCACAGGACTGCAGCTCCTTTTCTTATTATAATGACTCCAACACTAAATGGCATATATGTTTTCTATAAATGATGCCAAAATAAACGCATTTGAAACAGAGCAAACATAACTCCAGAGTAGAAATTACATTGCTCATTTCAGCATATTTTTAGGCTACATTTTGCCGTGGAAACGTCATCTTTAAGGCAACAGATCCTTTGTAATTGTAGCAAATTTTCATGTATCAAACAGATTTTGAATTGCAGATTTTTTATAGGAACAAAATGGCTCCAGATAGTTGCCAAGCTAAAAGCTACAGGCCACAGTTGTTGCCTGCGGGCTTGCGTTCTGATAATGGTCCTGAGTGTGTGTTAGTCCCCTAGGAGAACCTGTCCTCATGTCAGACTCCACACCATCACACCACCCAGCCTCTTCGCTCACGCTGCAAGATGGCCCGCTGCTGACTCGGTGCCAGCCGGACAACGACGCTGATGCAACACAGACCCACACACCAACACTCTCACACGGATTCACATGAATCAAATGCTTGGCTGTGATTTCTGCTGTCCCAGCATGCACCCTGGTTACCTGGCTGCTGTCCCACTAACAACAGCTGCTACCACAGCACTGGACTGGAGGCTCCGCTGCATGGAGGCACACACAAATACACGAACGTGGACTCATTTGAAAGGAATTCTCACAGAATCAAGGCCTCGTTCTTTACTGGACTGTACAGGATTAAAGTGGAAGTCACTCCATGCAAACACTTGCTTTTGTATGTTGTCATGCAGCCTGATCAGAAATGTACTCCAAGCCCCTGCATAACAATCAAGTGATCATAAGACTGAGGCAAAACTGTGAAAATATATTTATGAAACAGCTACAAAGAGCACAAAACATAAAACAAGACAGGCTAGACACAACATCAAAAGAGATATCATCCCAACCCAACAAATAAAGGATATAAAAACTGTGGAGTAATGTTCAAGGAAAGAAGTACTACAAATGATTTAATAAAATGGCAGAAACAATTCAAGAGGGAATAGATTTGTTAGTAAACAAACCCAAAACAACATTTGAATAACTCCTAAACAATCCAGTGCCATAAACCCACAACAAACCCAGACAGGAAGAGCTGTGCAAAATGGATCCGGACCGTAGACCCAGACACACAAGCTAGGGGAGATGTGGCAGCTTGCCGTCTCATCATGAACACAAACTCTTTTGTCCCAAAGACTCATCAAATTGAGAATTTGCAAAAAAAAATAAAAAAAAAAATGGCATTTTTAATGAGCAACACAGTTGCAAAAGAAGCAAACCCCACCTTAGTGTCATCTCAGGCACCCCTGCATCAGTAATCTGGTTCTGATGAGAGCTGCTGTGAGATGATCCTTTACTCGCTCTGCAAAGCAATCCTTGGTCAAAATGACGATCCTTCCCATCTTAGATTACAGTGACATCATTTATAGGACTGCTTCCAAAAAACTTCGTCATAAATTCGATGACATTTATCACTCTGCAATCTGTTTAGTCACTGGTGCCCCTTTCACTACTCATCATTGTGATCTGTACTCACTAACTGGCCATCACTCCATTCTGGCAAGGTTGTTACATCGGTATCAGTTCATACACAAAACCATCGTCGGTAGAACCCCGTCACATCTCTGCTCCAGTAACTGAATCTCTATGGTCATTCCCAAAGCTCGCACCTCCTTTGGCCGCTCCTCATTCGTTTGCTGCTTCCAACGACTGGAATGAGCTGCAAACATCACTGAAGCTCACCACCTACATTCCATTATCTACCTTCAATAATTCACTGCAGTCAATAGTTTCTGATTAATGTGTCTGCTTCTGAGTACTTAGATTACTTTGTTTTGATTGATTGAACATATATGTATATATGTGAACAATCCTTTGTCTTGTCTGTTTTATTTTTATATTTTACTTTGGTGTAAAGCTAACTGTCTGTTGCCGCTGCCTCTTGGCCAGATCAATGGAAATGAGTTCTCCATCGACCCATCTGGTTAAATAGAGGAATGGACCAGCAGACTGGAAAGTGCTGCTGGAGCACCTGCCAGGAATCCGAACCACACCTGAATTAATGAGGCCCAACTCTGGAGATATGTTGCATTGAGCAGGGCGGTGGGTGTGTTATGTAAAGCTGCAGCAGGGCAGGGGTCAGTCTCTGGAGGCACTTATGCAACAGTGGAGCCATCTCCATGACTGTCCTCTGGCCTTCACCCTGATGCTTCAACACATAAGGCTTTTATCCCACTGTCCTTCATAGGACCCTCCTCACTGCAGAACTGCTTTGGTAGAAAATATGTCAATCTTAAAATTCATCTCTACAGAGAACCAGTGTCCTTCAACTCCCTGAGCACCAGGTGGGGGAAAGCCTCAAGATGTACAATCCTAATTTTTGCGAGAAGTGCTGAATTTTATGTAGACTCATCTCAGCAGGGGGTTTAGAAGGGCACCCAACTGGCCTGTAGAGCCCTCTCAGGGTCTTCCTCATTACCTGCTGAAGAGGTTTTAGTTTCTGCAGTGATGATTCAGATGTTGGAGCTTAATTGCCATCCTGTGACTGCACAATTTTTGCAGTCAGCCAAATGTAATCCTTTACAGCTCAAGGACACATAGCCAGTTGAAAACATGCAATGTTGGCTTAACTCTGTCCAGTTCTGCATAGGTGGCTGCTTTCATCACCGCTGACAGCAACCTTTTCAGCTGCCGTTAACACAACTCTATGGAAATTATCTTTAGTCTTTCAATAAGGCAGTGAGTCAAAGGCAGTGAGTCAAAGTTGGGCTTTGTAATTGGTGCAAACCACCTGACTCACCCTTCACGTTGTGTCAAACACTTCAAAGTTGTATCCCTTTAAAATGTTTTAATCACCAACTCACATTCTCATAGACAATGGGTGAATATTTGACTATGGAATTCTGTTACTATTCTTGATCCTTCAAATTAACCATCTTCAAACGGAAAACCACTTTGATGTGAATTTAACAGTGGCCAAAAATGAATAAATTCAGGTTAGAGGTCTGAACACAAGCAGAGCTGGGGTGTTTGAGAAAAATAAAAGACAAGCTTGAGCTTTTTTATTTATTAAACAACTCTGCAAAACAGGAGACGACAGCGCAGAGACATGGTCTGATGTTTGAGACTTTAAACAGTCTCTTCCTTGGCAATGCGGTCCTTCTTGAGTGGTCCCTGTGGAAGAAAAGAATACAAGACCATAAGTTGAGTAATTCCTACACAGAGAGCGGTTGGCTCAGAGCGGCAGACGTGTTCCCAGAGAGTGAACAGGGAGCCAGCACAAAAGGGGCACTGCTCCCCTGCCTCACTGGAGATCACTGTAGCACTGGAATGGAACCCAGAGTTCACACGGTCAGCTGAACCAGGTTACGAACAGTGCACACGACACTAATCTGGGAACGTCTTACTACTCATGGCTGCGTCATTACAGCTCGTCTTCATCAGGTGAAATACAGCGGAAGATTGAAAAAAGATCTGATTAACTTAATTTCTAAATGTTGGCCGAGGGCTGCAAAATATATCGCAATTATATTATCGCAATATCAGAATGCCCGATATGCATGTCGCAAAGAACAGGTAAATATCGCAATGAATGGTTAGCTCAAATCTTTGCTACACAATGCATTCTTCCCAACAGAAGCATGAGGGTTTTTATGGTTAGATGCCCGCCCCCGAGGTGGCAGCACTTCATTTTGATGGCTAGCACCCCCCCATCACAACAACAATTGCTGTTATTGCAGGATTTCCCAATATTGTGCAGCCCTATGTTGGCCTGTTGTGAACTGACCAGCACTATTCTACAATCACTTTAAGGAGCCTTACCATGAAGGCCTTCTTCTCTTCCACAGTCTGGAAGCGACCGTGACCAAACTTGGAAGTGGTATCAATGAACTTGAGGTCGATCTTCTCCAGAGCACGACGGCTGGTCTGCACAAGCAGAGACTGAAGGGAAAACAACATTTTAAAATCTCTACCAGCACAACACAAGTCTCCTCATTGTTGCATCAATAATGCTTGACTACGTTCTATTTTGCCTCACCTTGCGCAGGGTCAGCACCCTCTTCTTGGTTCCCACAACGCAGCCCTTCACCATGACAAAGTCGTTTGACACTTCTCCATAGTGGACAAATCCACCCTGTCATAAAACTCAAATCAGCCACTCTGGGGTTGAAGGTCAATTTACACAATGTATGCATGTGGGCCTCATACCAGGGGGTTGATGCTCTTGTTGGTCAGATCATACTCTGTGGAGGCATTGTTCTTGATAACCTTCCCATCCTTGGAGTGGTAGCCCTGGCCAATCTTGTAGATCTTCTTGTTGATCTCTGTACGATGATGGTAACCTTTCTGACCCGCACGGGCCACAGAAAACGCCACACGGGCCGGATGCCAGGCACCAATACAAGCCACCTTACGCAACCCACGATGAGTTTTACGTGGAAGTTTCTTTGTGTGCCAACGGCTGGTGACACCTAGGAGAAAAATAAAAAATGTCAATAAAATCCTGCAACAGTGTCCTGTAATGAGGCACGCAAAAAAAAAAAAAAGAACTTACCTTTGTACCCATGACCCTTTGTAACACCAATGACGTCAATCATCTCATCCTGGGTGAAAACTGTATTGACGGGAACGGCCTGCTCAAGCTTCTCGCGGGCCCAGTCCACCTTATCAGAGATGGTGCCTCCGTTCAGCTGCACCTCCATGAGGTGAGACTTCTTCTGCCTTAAGGGCAGTAGACGCATCTGCACAGAAACGTAAATGTCAGAACAGACTACAAACAAAAGCACAACAGGTGTAGCTGCGAGGTCTCAGAAGGAAGGCAGCATGGAAGAATTCCTCATAAGTATCAGGCGCCATGCCTGACGCTAGTTCCGTGGTCTCATCACCGACAGTAAACAGCCACCATTAACACAAAGCTTACCAACCTGTGTGTGGGCGATGACCCTGATGACCTGGCAGTACTTCTTCATGGCAGAAAAGTCTTTCTCCAGCTGTTTCTTGCCTTCATCATCTTGCCACTTCTTGCAGTATTTGGTGAAAGCCTTCTTCTTAGACTTGTACCTGAGAGCAGCAAGCATTACAGCGGTTGGCACGGGTCCCTCATGACCCTGCTGGGCCAGCGGAAGAACACAGTGCACAGCTGCGAGCCTTTCCATCTCAGATGGGGGAGGCCTCGTCAGCTAGAAGATTTTGGCTCATGGCACAGTTTCTAAGAAGCTCTTTCCACTGGCCAGAGGAGCCTGGAGCTCATCAGGGCCTGCGGCACCTGAGCGGAGCTGCCACCGCAACGTTACTTGCTCAGTGAAAATGTGATTCTGCTTCGTATTTGCTGGCAACTAACATGCTTCAACGTGCAGGGATCAACTTTAAATTCTGCATTCCAACTCACCAGTTCTTGTAGAACCGACGCTTGCACTCATCGCTGATATGCTCAGCGAAGATGGTCTTGAAGGATCGCAGCCCGCGGGGGGTGTTGACGTAGCCTACAACTCCAACCACAATCATGGGAGGAGTCTCTACAATGGTCACAGCCTCGACCACTTCCTTCTTGTTCACCTCTGTGTGACAAAGAAAGGGAATTACAGTTACCCACAGCTTGTTACAGCAGCAGATTCTGCTCCCATGGTCAAGGTTTTAACTGCGCTCAGTTCTCGACATTCAGCAAGGAGGGTGAAAACCCATTCAGTCCGCCCGTCGAGAGTCTCATCACAGGCAGAAATCATTTGCACCAGAATTTTAATTATAAGAGCAGGTCAAAGACTATGCAGTAAGCAGCAATATACTTCTAAAGGAGTGTTACAATTACATTTCGAGTTTAATTTATAGGAATTTTCCAGCATGCACGTGTCACCAGGCCAATCAAACAGCCATTTTCTGGAACTTTTGGACCACCTGAAGAGTTGTAGTTACTAGAATGGCCCACTGGAGCAGCTAAGAAAAACTTAACGCACAGATCAGTTGCAACTTGGTAGGAAATTACACCCGCAGACACTTTCCAAAACAACGGGCATTAGGAGCGGCTTGTTAAGCAGAATCTAAGAAAGGAAATAAGCACTGATCGCACCGCTTTAAAAGTTAAAAGTGCTATTAAGCTCTTAATATCGATAAACACCGCAGAATTCTCCAACAAATTTACGGGGTTTGTGGTCTCAAGAGTACTGTTTAAAAAAATAACTTCTTCCAGTCATTGAATGCCACATTTTACATCGTGCACCTTCTCTTCTCCTGAATAAACGTCATTAATATTACTGCAGATGCTTTTTGGCACTCAGTGAAGCCCTTGAAAGGCTGTATGTGTATGGAGACAACAGCAGAGAGGACAGGGGCATTAATTTCCCCTGAAGTTCTGATAATTGGAAACACGCCTGCAGACACGTTTATAACTAGACACACACATAAAGAGGGGTATCTTGAGTCAGTAATTAGAAACTTCTCAATACTATATTAATTGGGTTCTTATACTTACTTGAGCCAGGCCTATCGACCTCACGGACAATATGGGTCATGCCGGCCTTGTAGCCCAGGAAGGCGGTCAGGTGTACGGGCTTGCTGGGGTCATCCTTGGGGAAGCTCTTAGCCTTACCCCGGTGACGACGGCTCCTCTTGCGGGGCAGGAAACCGAGTGAGCCGTGTCGTGGAGCTGAAAACTTACGGTGAGACTGTGAAACGAAACATTCAGTTACCTTCTGGTGACAGGATAACGTTTTTAATCAACGTTCACCTTCTGGTGACAGGATAACGTTTTTAATCAACGTTTGACAAAGTAGTTAAAGTCACTCAAATATGAAGGAAACAGATGAACTGGTGACCACCGCCATGACACGAGCAGCACATTGAGCAGCATAATCTGGATCGTATAACACTGTAGAATAATTCACAGAGTTCTACTTAATGAATCAGAAAAGCTATTGGCAACTGTTTCACAGCTAAAGCAAAATAGGAATCGGCCTGGTTTCAGCAGCCATTTTGGACCTGGAGTCACCAGCGTTGCCTAGCATGCATCCCTAAAAATACAATTTCAGACTCAAACGCTTCGAAATGTCTGCGTAGTTCTTTTTGTGAACATAAAACAACTGAGTTTATCTAATCTAAATGAGTTATATGTAACGGATGACTATGATAATGAATGGATTCTTGCTAAGAAACCGCTGACCACAGTAAAGCCGTCGACTCACCATTTTGTCTCCAGTCCGATTGAAAGAGGCCTTCAACGAGGGTTAACTTCGTATTTAAGGTCAGGGAAATATCGCGAGAACCAGCGTGAGTACTAATAGAGAAGTCCCTCCTCCTCCTTATGGGTGTAATAAATGTAATATCCACTAAATGTCGCTGTTCCTTAAATTTATAAGATGTAGTTACGAGTTCCACTAAATGTATCATCTTTCAGATTATAACAGTACGTTTATTCTTTTAGTTAACGTGTTTTACAGTTTGGCATAACAGATTAAAACCAGTTCCAACAGAATTAACCTATTCTCTTTTCAACATTAAAGAATTTCTAATCTATGTCTAAAATTGGGTTGGAGTTCTCATTAATTGATGTTCAACTTCAAAGCCCACTTTACTAATAATAGTGATTTAATAGATTGTGATATACTGAACAAAATGTACATTTAAAATATTTGCTTCTGAAAACAAATCACTTGTTGCATGAGAACATGTTTTAACATTTTATTAAAACTTAAATCATATAAAACAAACACATTCACATACATCTTTCTTCTCCTGGTCCAGTGTAATTTTTTTCAGTTCTATGCATGTCTATTCTGTTTAGCCACCAGAATGCCACAAGGCAATATTTTTAGAGATCTGAGAATCTATGGAAAGAAAATAGAATTTTCAAAGAAAGATTAGCAAAAACACCACTAAATGCTAGTTTTAACATAACATACAGTTCAGAAAAACTTGCTTCAGTTTTGCCATCATGCAGCAAATGTACTCATATGAATGAAGATGAAGATGTCAAACTGTGGCATTGCTTGAACTATTAAAACACACACATACACAGGAATCTGTTGCTCTGGATGCATTTCACAGTTTTTTTGTTGCGAATGTAAAATGCTGTGTTAAACTCATCCAGCATACAAACATATTTGGTAATTATCTACACAGCAGATAATTGCTGAAAATGGCCATGCTTTACTGTTGCAGGACAGCGGATTGTGCGACGAAGCATGAAGAGGGTGGAGCATCTTATCTGGACTCTGTACTGCAAAGGGCAGGACGCCCCGTCTGCTTTATCTGGCAACGAGCGTATTTTCTTGTTACTCATGTTACAGCACAGAAGTTGAAGTCTTTAGGAGCTTGCATAACTGTTACACACAGTAGGTGAGTGCTCATAGGGTGAAGATGCTTGTGGTTGGTCCGTATTTCTCAACACATTAAGGGCAAGTCTCTTCTCTTTATAAATGATTGTTTTTATCATGAAGAAATTAAGTTATTCTCAAGATCCAGGCTTACTCAAAGTCTTTATAGCCATCATTATAGGCATGCCATCTTTTTTTGGTGAACACTTCATATTCATGAGAATCAATCTACTGCAATAATTATAAAAAAGCTGAATTTCTTTTGTGTTGAAAAAAAATGAATCCAGGCCACATTCTTCTTCAGGTTTTTGTTCGAGGAGCCATAATCCCAGCTGCGAGTTACCACGGTAAAACTAACCAGCACACCATTCCCAGGGATTAGGTTGCCAGCTGCTGTCGATCAAGGTTCATCTTCTGAAAGAAGGCCTTCCCAAACTCATAGCTGCTTATCATAACAGCGCAAGCTGGGGCGACTTTGATCACCCTGGGCATGAAACCTGGGTTTTTAAAAAAATGGAAAAAAATGCATCTTTAAACCTTTAATATAGCAAACACATGCTTAGGAAGATGGAATTATTGACTGTACCTGCAAAAAGGCCCCTGTAGCCCAACTCAGCCCAGATGTTCTTCATAATGTGCCAAGTGGATGTGGTTTTCTTTAGGGAAACTATAAGAAAATATAAAGAAGCACACTCATTAAGGACATGATCAAAATACACCAGTCACCAAGCAAAATGCCTTCATTAAAGGTATATAAAACATACCTGCGAGTGCATCTATTTCTCCCAGTTGAATCTGCCTTCGAGTCTTTACAACATCAAACGGCAGCGTCAGGACAGCCGCAATCTAAACATCAGGAGAGATGTGAACGGTCACTTCCTGATTAACACAGCTGCGAGTTACACTCCAAACTCTCTGGTTTCAATTTTCCTAAAGGGTAACTTATAATGCAAGACTATCTGATTTATTGTTAGAAAAACATTAACATGTGAATGTGTGTCAGATATCTTCACTGCTACGAACCCTTTATCAGATATCCCAGTAGATATTTTTACCAGTTTACACCAGTTACCTGTAATCAATGTTGGACTGGATTTTACATCAAGTATTTAAATTGTATAACAACATAGCCAAATACCATGACACATTACATTCTGTTATTTTCAGAAGATGTGTTTAAAGAAAAAAAAAGATTTTACCATTTGGGAAGATGAAAACACTTCCTCATTAATTATACTTTAAAAGAGAAATTAGATCTAGTCCTATGTTAATAAGGCTTTTTATGCTTCTCATGAGCTCATTTAAATTTAGTTTTGACGGTTTGACAGTCACACAAAACCAAAAGGCCCACATTTCTTCTTCATTCTTACCCTTTTATTAGATATATTTTTAAATCCATCCATCCCTCCATCCCATCCATCCATTTTCATCCACTTATCCGGAGTCGGGTTGCGGGGGCAGTAGCCTAAGGCGAGAGGCCCAGACTTCCCTCTCCCCAGCCACTTGGGTCAGCTCCTCCGGGGGAATCCCAAGGCGTTCCCTGGCCAGGTGAGAGACATAGTCCCTCCACCGTGTCCTGGGTCTACCTTTAGGTCTCCTCCTGGTTGGACGTGCCCGGAAAACCTCACCAGGGAGGCGTTCGGGAGGCATCCTGACCAGATGCCCGAGCCAACTCAACTGGCTCCTCTCGATGTGGAGAAGCAGCGGGTCTACTCCGAGCCCCTCCCGAATGACCAAGCTTTTCACCCTATCCCTAAGGGAAAGCCCAGCCACTCCGGAGAAAACTTGTTTTGGCTGCTTGTATCCGCGATCTCGTTCTTTCGGTCACTACCCAAAGCTCATGACCATATTTGAGGGTAGGAACGTAGATCGACCGGTAAATCGAGAGTGTCGCCTTCTGACTCAGCTCTCTCTTCACCATGACAGACCAGTACAACACCCGCATCACTGCAGATGCAGCACCAATCCGCCTATCGATCTCACGCTCCAGCTTTCCCTCACTCGTGAACAAGACCCCGAGATACTTAAACTCCTCCACTTGAGGCAGGACCTCATCCCTGAGCCGGAGAAGGCATTCTACCCTTTTCTGAATCAAGACCACGGTCTCAGATTCAGATTTTTAAATCCTTTGATCTAAACTCAGATCATCATTTCATCTAAATGTAAGGAACCAGCTTTTCTAAAATTAACTAATAAAAGAAAATATTATTTTGTAAAGTAGCAAAGCTAAAAAAAAAAAAAGATATTTAACTGTAGTAACTGAGGAGCATTTTGGCATTCTTGTTTAATACGTACGGCTCCAGAAACAGCTCCTGCTGAGAAGCTGATGGAAAAGTTGGCCTGAGGCATTTGGTACTCCTCACACAGCTTGGTCTTCACCAGTTCGTAATTAAACCAGTACAGAGCTACGACACAAACAAAAAGAAAGAAGATTTCACCTGTGTCAGTCAGTCCATCCACGATCTTTAATCCTCTCTATCAGCCCTATAGCCATTTACTTTTTGTCTAATAAAAACTGTATTTCATTTAAATGTGAAACTACACAAGAACGCTGATTTAGCTACATCCCCAGAATGTGCATGTTTGAAACATGAAAGCTGAATAACACTTGAATATTCAAGCATATTGGACATAAATCTCCAGGATTAGTTAACACATTAACCAACAGGATGTGTAGTCAACCATAGCCACATTTGTAGGAGATTTATTTGACACCGACACATTTAACTGCTCTAGTAACCCCAACACAGTTAGAGTATCTCACCAGAAAAAGGCACATCTCTGAGAACAGTGGGTCCCCAGCCCCTCCACAGAGACAGCAGGCCATCTTGGGCCACGGCTGAGTGAATACACACCCACAGTTGCTTGTAGGTCAACTTTCTGGACTGCATTTTGGTTCTGACCAGCTCCAGAGGACTGATCACCGTCACAGCTCCCACTGCAACACAAACAACAACACTGGTTGACAAGATGGCTGACGGGAGAGTCTCATGAATTTTCCTCCTACCTACCAACAAATATCATGGAAAGAACTTAACATCCAAGAGATTGATCAAGTCTCTTACATTCTTAAAGAAGTCTTGCTTCTTTTTTGGGAGTATTACCTAAAATTTTGAAGCTTTGAGTCCTTTCTTCTTCATCACATGTGCTCTACAAGTAACACTGGGCCTACTGGATTACCTCAAACCTGGAATTCTTTTTGTCTTCTAAGAATTTAAACAGATGATCAAGAAACATGGCGACAAAGAGGCTATCAGAAGATATTGAAGAAATTAAGAAGTCCCTTAACTTCATGTCGGAAGAACTGAGTAAGGTGGCAAAGCAGCAAACAGGACTAATGGACTTAATTGAAGAAGTAAGGCAACTTAAGACTGTGATTAAGGAAAAAGATAAGAGGATTGAAGAGTTGGAAAGAAGAGTTGAAGATCTGGAGCAGTATACAAGAATGGAAGATGTGGTGATTTCTGGTCTGAAGACAAATCACTACACCTATGCACGGAGTTCAGCAGGTGACAAGGAGGGAGAAGACGCACCTAGAGCTGAAAAGGATTTGCTTGAGCAGCAAGTTATTCAGTTTTTTAAAAACAAAGACATTCCCTTGGATAGCAAAAATATAGCAGCATGTCATACTATTTCACAAAAGCATAACAAGATGCCAACTATTATACTTCGATTTGTGAGCAGGAAATATAAAGTTGAACTGTTGAAGATGGGAAGGAAATTAAAGGGAACTGGAGTGTACGTGAATGAGCATCTTACAAAGAGAAATGCTGACATCGCACGACAGGCAAGACTTTTAAAGAAGGAAAGGCACATCCAAGACACCTGGACAAGGAACTGTAAGGTATTCATAAGACTCAATGGGTCACCAGAACAAGCAAAAGTTGCTGTTGTTAGAGATGTTGCAGATCTTGAGAGATTTAAACAAATTAAATAGAATTCAGTGGAGAAATACAAGTACTTTTGTTGCTGACTGTGAAATGGACAACATCTGATAAGTGTGAGAAAAAAAGCTATGCATGCAAATGTGTGGAACATTTCATGAGTTAGATAATATTGATCCAGATATCACCCTTTATCACAATGTTGATATGACATGTGATTATTATAGTGGGGAAGAGTTAGATCCCAAGATAAAAGGTTTCTCGTTAATTCACTTTAACAGTCGGAGTCTTTACAGTAATTTTTTTTAAATCAAAGAGTATCTTGATCAATTTCAAAATAAGTTTGCTGTGGTGGCAATTTCAGAAACATGGTTGAATGATGACAGAGAACTGCAGGATGGACTAGAGGGTTATGAAATGTTTTGGCAAAATAGGAGGAATAGAAGAGGAGGAGGGGTCGCTATATTTGTTATATCATGTCTTAAATGTAAAATTGTTAACAATATGACCGCTGTGGTGGATAACTTGATGGAATGTTTAACTATCGAAATTCAAGTTGAAAGATCTAAAAACATATTAGTTAGATGTATTTATCGTACACCTGCATCGTGCATGGATCAGTTTATGAGAGAAATTTCTGTAATACTGGAAAAACACAAAGAAAAGACAACTTTATTTTGTGGTGATTTTAATATTGATTTATTGAAGGCAAATGATCACAATAAGACATCTGAATTTACTGATACAATGTTTAGTTTTGGGTTCTATCCGTTGGTTCTAACGCCCAGCAGAATAAAGATGGATAGTGCCACTTTGATTGACAACATTTTCTTTAATAAGATAGATGGTAAGATACACAGTGGACTGTTAGTCACAGATGTTTAAGTGATCACTTGCCTGTCTTTTCAGTGCTTGAAATGAATAATCAATTTAATATTCGAGAGGAAAAGATTGATTACATTGGTAGAATAAAAACACCAGAACACATTGCAGCTTTTAAAAGAGAATTAAAAAATTATGACTGGAAAAAGGTTTATGTGGAAGACACTAATGATGCATATAATGCATTTCTAGACATATTTTTTGTCAATCTATGACAGCCATTGTCCACTGAAAGTTTTCTGAAAATCTCAAAAAGAAAAAACCATGGATGACAAAAGGTCTGGAAAGAGCATGCAAAAGGAAAAATAAGTTATATAAGATTTTTTTGACAAATAGAACTAAGGAAAATGAAGACAAATATAAGAAATATAGAAACAGATTAACAACTATTTTGCGATATGAAAAGAAAAGTTATTATGAAAAGCTGCTTCAAAAATCTAAAAATAATATAAAGGCTACCTGGAGTGTACTTAATAAGATAATAAAAAATCAGAATAATATATGTTTTCCAACATGTATTGTAAAAGAAGGTAATTTAGCGATTAAGAATATTGAGAGTATAGTCAACGAATTTAATGATTACTTTGTTAATGTAGGTCCCAATTTGGCAAAAGAGATTTCTGTACCAGGAAAACATGACGACAAATTTTTAAATTTTACTTCTTATAAATGCAACTCAATGTTTCTTGGAGGAGTCTGTGAGAGTGATATTATAGATGTGGTGAGTAAATTTAAGAGTAAAAAATCCATGGATTGTGACGGCCTTGAATTGTCATTAGTTAAAGAAGTTCTTCATAGTATCCTTCAACCGTTAACTTATATTTGTAACAAATCATTTCAAACCGGAATTTTTCCAGATAAAATGAAAATTGCCAAAGTGATCCCATTATATAAAAATGGAGATAAACAGGTTGTGTCAAATTATAGACCAGTATCTTTGCTGCCTACATTTTCAAAGATTCTTGAAAAACTATTTGAAAACAGACTAAATTCTTTTCTTGAAAAATATGATTTATTGAATGACCATCAGTATGGGTTCAGAAGAAATCGATTAACATCTCTAGCAGTAATGGAATTTATTGAAAATATTGCAACAATTGTGGATAAAAAACAGATTGGAATAGGTTTGTTCATTGATTTACGCAAAGCCTTCGATACGATAGATCATTCTTTACTGTTACAGAAATGTGAAAGATTTGGTTTAAGATGTGTTGTACAACTTTGGTTAAATAGTTACTTGGAAAGAAGGTTCCAATATGTGAGTATTAATAATATGAAATCTAAACTTAGACAAGTAACTTGTGGAGTTCCGCAAGGATCGGTGTTGGGACCAAAGCTATTTTTACTTTATATAAATGATATTTGTACAGCTAGTGATATTTTAAAATATGTGATGTTTGCTGATGATACAAACTTATTTTGTTCTGGAGATAACATAAAGGAATTACTGAAAACAGTGGAAATAGAATTGATGAAGTTAAATAGATGGTTTGTATTTAATAAACTATCACTGAATGAAAGTAAAACAAAATTTATGTTGTTTGGAGGTATTAAGAATAATATTGAAGTAAAATTAAATCTAAATAATGTTGAAATTGAACGAGTAAATGAGACTAAATTTTTAGGAGTAATAATTGATGATAAACTTTGTTGGAAGTCTCACATAGATCATGTGAAACGGAAATTATCTAAGTCTATTTCTATTCTTTATAAAACAAGAGATTTATTGCACAAGAGCTGCCTTTATTTATTGTACACTTCCCTTTGCTTGCCTTATATGAGTTATTGTGTGGAAATTTGGGGGAAAACATACAAAACATATCTGGATTCAATTTTTAAATTGCAAAAAAGAGCTATTAGAATAATAAATAAAGCTGGATATAGGGAGTCCACAAACCAATTTTTCGTAGGATCAGCTATGTTAAAATTTAAGGACATTATATATCTTAAAACTTTAGAAATGACGTATAGAGTGGTGAAAAAGAATGTTCCAATTTGTATTTTAAGTATGTTTAAATTAAGAGATGGAAAATATGATTTGAGGGGGTCTTATATGTTTGAAATACCTAAAGTGAGAACTAATGCGAAGTATAGATGTGTGTCGGTTTTGGGAGTGAAGTTATGGAATGGACTTAATGATGAACTGAAGATGTGTTATTCTTTGTCGTTTTTCAAGAAAATTTTAAAAAATTGCATCTTCCAAAGTTATAGAAACTTAGTTTGATGTCCAACCTTGTGTTGATTTGATTTCTTGATTTATCATTGTTTTTCTTTAAATGTTATGCATCTTAGCTATCAGCCTTGGTTAAGGATTTGATTATGTCTGTGGGAGTTAAGGATAGGCTAATTATAAGCCACTAGGCTTCAACCTATTCCTTTTTTCGGTTGCTTGATTACTTTTATGTAAAATTGATAAATTGTTGTTGTTGACCGAATAAAAATATCTATCTATCTATCTATCTAATTACAATCTTCAGCATAAACCGGCTGGGATATTTATGTGGGCATTTATGTACTTACGTCTGGCGAGACCTCCTGCCAGAAGAGGGATGTGACTTCCCTGAAAACCCAGACCAAACCACATGAAGTCCCTCAGCTGGTCGTAACAGGTGAAGTAGATGATTGTAGCTGGAACTGCCATGACCCTATAAACACAAACATGCAAATGGAGAACGGCTTCTTCGTGCATTAAATCAATGGAAGGTTTACGACACTAGAGTGAAAATTGTGCCGCGATTCATCAGGAAATGTTGCAGTCTCTTGCAGTCTGACTCTTTACATGTGTAAACCTGAAGCCATATGAATAGATGCATTCATTCAGCAGAACTTATTGTTCAATGAATAAAGGAGAAAGAATTTAATTTTTTCCGGAAGTCACAAATGTGCACATCCTGGGTTTTTATTACAACAAAATCTCTACATTCAATCAAAATTGCAAAGAAACACCAGAAAGGGAGTTCCTAAAAGTGTGGAAGACATGAACCCTGCATGGGATGTTTGACCACTTCAATAAGTTGTAGTGGGCTGCAAATACTTTATAACCAAACATAAATGCTTTTTAAGCAGGACCAGGCAGTGAGTGTACCATTAAATGACTACAGGTAGTAAAGGAAAAAAGAAAGAGAAGACTGAAATGTATTGTTTTGTGTCAGGTCAGCCTGCTCCCACTCATCCTCTTATGTTTTTTATACACACAGTAGAGGAAAGACGTATTTAGTTATTGGGAGGATTTGGCAGAGACTCCGGCCTCCGGAGGGGACACGTCCTCCATGAGCGTGCTGATCTGATTTCTGAAGAAGATCCTTCTGGAGCTATGCTGTGATTTGGGACCCTTTGCAGAGCGACAGACAAACCGCACAAATCCGATTTCAGTCCATTTTCTTCATTTTTAACTACGAGAACCCCCAGAACCTCCTCTGCTCCCCGATCATACATGCATTGTCACGGTAAACAGACAATGACAGCTTATAAGAGGCAGCACTCTCAGACAACATTTCCAAATAAAACTAACTAAACAGAATGACTCCTTAAATGTAAATGATAGCCAGTCACTCTATGATTTATCATAGTCAACGTTTATTTCTGATGGGAACCTCTCCTGTCTCCACCACATTACAATCTCTGCAACTTGTTTGGTTCCTTTTAACTTCAGCAGCCAGTCTCCATCTCACTGTCAAAGGTTTTTTTTTTTTGGGGGGGGGGGTTCCCTCATTAGCTGAGGATGTGGTGTGACCAAATATGGTTAACTTAAGGTGTTTCCCATGGTCCCTGTGCAGAAAAAACAGACCCAAAGCATGATGTTTCCACCCCCATGCTTTACAGTAGGTATGACGTTTTTCGGATGCAACTCAGCATTCTTTCTCCTCCAAACACAACAAGTAGTTTTTACCAAAAACTTCTATTTTGGTTTCATCTGACCACATGACATTCTCCCAGTCCTCTTCTGGATCATCCAAATGCTCTCCATCAAACTTCAGATGGGTCTGCACATGTACTGGCTTAAGCAGGGGGGGTGTTCCTGGGGGCGTAGTGCATTACTGCGTCATCCGTTACTGATGGTAGCCTTTGTAACTTTGCTCCCAGCTTTCTGCAGGTCACTCACTAGGTCCCCACGTGGTGAGATCTTGTGTGGAGCCCTCGATCGAGGGAGATTATAAGTGGTCTTGTATGTCTTCCGCTTTCTAATAATTGCTCCCATACAAAGCTGTTTACCTATTACGGATTCAGTCTTCCCAGTCTGGGAAGACTTTTGTTTCTGGTGTCCTTTGACTGCTCTTTGTTTAGAGTTTGACTGTTTGAGGTTGTGGACAGGTGTCTTTCATACTGAAAACAGGTGTCATTAATACAGGCAATGAGTGGAGGAGAAAGGAGCCGCTTACAGAAGAAGTTACAGGTCTGTGAGAACCAGAAATATTGCTTGTTGGTAGAAGGCCAAATACTTGCACACCTGGACACGGACAAGCCCCATCATACATTGATGATCTTCTCAGTCCCTACAAGCCAAGCAGGTTGCTCAGGTCCTACTGGTTGTGCAGCGCACCAGGCTAAAGACCAACGGTGACAGCTCATTTGCTGCTGTGACATATATATATACATAGGGTATATATATATATATATATATATATATATATATATATATATATATATATATATATATGCCCTATATAATTGGTTTTGGATATTGGACATGGGCAACAAAAAATCTGTATCGACCTTAAAAAAAAGCATATCGATCAGCCACTATTTATCTTGTTCTTTAACATTCTCTACATGTAACTCACAGCGTTGGAGGCAGTCCGCTCCACAGAGACCGGAGTCCTTCATAGCGGGTGATTTTCACAAAAGCATCCTGTGACAAAAAATAAATCAAAAAACCTCAGCTTGTTTTGTAAAAAAAAAAACAAGCTGCACATAAATGTGCTGCTACTTACAAGAGTCCCACTGAAATGAGTTGGCTTTGTGTACCAACTGGTGCAACTGGATCCATTCCGACAGACGTAGATGTGATCCATTAATCCATTGCAATACAGAAAGCACTTCCCTGTGTAGAACATCAGCAGAGTAGAGGAAAAAAAAACATCAGCAAAATAGCCACCAACCCTGGTGACCGATAGCGGTTCATTTATCAACTCTTTCTTTCTGCAACTCATTTAATATGGGGCTGCATGGTGGCGCAGTGGTTAGCACTGTTGCATCGCAGCACGAAGGTTGCAGGTTCGAAACTCGGCTGTGGCCTTTCTGCATGGAGTTGCGTGTTCTCCCCATGCATGAGTGGGTTTCCCCCACAGATCACAACATGCCCTATAGGTTATAAATTGTAAGTCGTTTTGGATAGAAACGTCTGCTAAATGAATACTGTAAACATAAACATAAATAAATATAACATGAGCCTTGAGACAGAATTCATTCAAGCACCTCGTGATTTTGATCTTGAGAGGTGCTATATACAGGGTATCTGCAGGTTTAAGGGAGCCAAATTTAAAACTTTTTAAGACCTTTTTTAAGGCCACTTTGACCAAATTTAAGCTATTTTTTTTTATTAAATTTAAGCTATAATTTCCAGCTATTGCCTGGAACTGGTGCTAACCACGTCGTGAATGTGGGATTAGCCATCCAGTTACCATTAATGTTGCCATGTCTTCCCCATGGCGCAAACTCCCACTAGCGTGCTCATCTAAAAATAGCCCCCTTTCACAACCAACCGAATGTGTACGGTTCCGCTTACGCCAGTATCATACACAAAAAATGCCAAACTAACTAGAAATTCATGAAAATTTTATAGAAATAAAAGAATCTTGTTTATTGGGTCTTTGGTAATTTAAGACCTTTGGAAACTATTTAAGGATTATTTGTCATTTTTAAGGATTTTTAAGGCCTTAAATTAGGAAAAGCTAATTTAAGACTTTTTAAGGACCTGCAGATACCCTGTATATAAAAGATTGTTTTCTTTCTTTCTTTCTTTCAATAACACAGGCAGCAGCACTGACCGCTCTGCCATTCAGAAGATAACATCAGCCTGCCCTTGATGTTGTTTACACTGTTTATTTTAGGTTGATTAGAGACTTCTGAAGAGTTTTTACATCAGTGAATCTAATTGCAAATGAAGTAATTTTGATTTACTAACAGAAAATGTTTGTTCATCTAGCACATGGCAACACGAGAAAAAAAAACATCTGCCAAGTTTGCTGCTGCAGCAGGTCAATACTTACATTTGGAAGAGCGGCCGACACCACCCCACGGAGCAGAGTCACAGGCTAAGACCAGGAAACAAAGCAACAAAGGGAGGGATGCAGACAGAAAGCAGGGCAAGACAGAGAAAGATGCGTGGCTGGGTTAGTTTTAGGGGCAAAGCAATGAAATAAAAGCAACATCAAAACAGTCTCTTTCTTACCTTGGTGGAAAGGAGTCTGCTGAGACTGCAGTCTTATCTTTATGACATCCAGGGGAGTGACTGTAAACAAATATACAGGTCCAATCATGACAACACAAGAGCCGTATTATGAACGAAAAAGTACCTTCAAAGGCAAAATACTTTATTTTTTAAAATTCACTAAAGATTGAAAACGTTTCTCGTCTTTGTTTCTATTATCTAACCAAATAGAGATGTGAGGAGGGCTCCAGTGCCAGAAGCCAGCATCTGCTGCACTGGAGAGATCGCAGCCACGGGCCTGCCAACAGTCCGCTCCCCCATCCTGCCCACCTGTCAGACCAAAAAACGTAACATAACAAAAAACGCTGAAACGTTAAAGAAGTCTTCAGATCTTGTCAAACACCATGCAAGCTGAGCAGTTCAAGTCCCATTGATTGACATGCTGATTGACACAAAAGGGGTGATGGGAGTCAAAAAGAAATCAGTAACTTAAAACCAGCTTTGTGGTTGGGTCATGGTCCTGTAGTGTCAAACGCCTTCTGTTAATGTCTAAATTATTATGTCACAACAAGGCTAACTAGGCCAAGTTGACGACGCTCACACTAAAATAACCAACTCAATATTACCATATTGTCTGCCCCCGGACTGAGCAGAAGGCGTCTAGGTGGAGTTTTTAAAACAAGGTCCTTGAAGTTTTGATAACTTATCTTTCACACGCATGACTCGAGCCTCACCATGGAGTCTTTCCTCCTGCTGATCCTCCACCAGACTGCTTATATTCAGTATAAGATGACAGCTATATCTGATTTCGTTACCCTTTGTTTGTTTCCTCTGGCTTGTCTTGTTCCTGTAGTTTAACACACTTTGGTAAGTGTGGCATGCACATTAGGGCTGGGACGACGCGTCGACCGCACATCCACATGGCTCTCTAGTTAAATGATGCGTCAATAAGCGTGCTGGCTGCAACTCTAAACGGTCGAAGGTTTGCGTTAAAGCTGAAGGGAGGTCACGTCCCACCAGTAAATAAACACGTTAACAGGACATGTTTGTGATAAATGCGGATGGCCAGTAAGACTTTCGATTAGATTAATCTTCAGTTGGTTTCAGCTCGATCCTCGTGGCCTAAAAGGTGTGTTGGTACGCTACGTTCCTTTCAGTGTTCACTGAAACATAAGTGTGCAACATAAGTTACACATCATATCAAAACAAAGGTGAGCAGGAATTAGTGGTTTTAAAACCAAATCGTTCGATGCATCAAATGCGTTGAATCCAATTAGTTAAAATAATCGATTTCTAGCACGCTTGCTAACACTAGCTGCATGGCTAGTTAGCGGTTGTTAAAGTTTACGCTTTAAAAGCAAACTGGTGTTACTCACCTCTAGTTTAGCTGCCAGCCTTTGTTGGAAACATAGGTGTCTTCTTCACCCATGTCAGTTAAGAGCCGCTTCGCATTATTCAGGCGCCCCATGTCGAGCAGCCTGAACAAATGTAATCAGGCCAGGGTCGAGTTGTTTACGGTCACGCAGCACAAAGTGATTACGTACAGCGTACACTTTACGCTGATTTCACAAGCAAGTGCGCTCGATCTAAAAGCTTTCGAATGACACTCAGAGAGCTGAACAGATGGTTTGTAGATCAGCGGAACACTTGGCTCCACCCTTTTTCCTTCGCGAGTCTTTACCGCCATCTAGTGGATTTAATTCAACACGGCATCGCTTTCTGAAGTAAACACAATAAATGCAGCCACTGCATGTAAAAATTAAATAAAATAAAATACAGGCTAAATTAAACATTTGAGTTCGAATTTCATAAGTCTGATTTTTTTGTCACGTTTGAATAGAATATAATTTATTAATCTACAACTACTATTACCACCAGTAATAATTGTGTGACTAATGGTGGACTAGAAGAATAAGATAATTATGGAAATTCAGAATCTCTCCTCCCTCTGGGGTGTTCTCAGCATGATGCAGGTCTATAGGGTTTCAGGAAATACTCACGATGAGACAGTGGTGCAACTCCTGCCAACCCACAACAACCCTTCTGGCCTTTAAAAAACAGTAAGATCACTGTAAACTTGTTGTTTATCGCTCAGCCTTTTGAGGAAATAACTGAAATGTTTTATCACTGGAATGTATTAGTTTGTACAACTAGTTTATGTCAGATTGTATTGACTAAATTCTTAGGAGGTTTCATCACTCTTATGTGCAAAATAACCATGGTACTTTTTCCACTTAATTTAAATGTAAGTTAAACAAAACATAATGTGTTTATTTGTCTTTACTTAGATTGTGTTTGTGCCTTTTGGTAAATAATAAAAAAGGTGCAAAAAAGAAGTAGCACAAAAATAAATGTAATTGTAATGAAAATTTACTGCGTTAATACTATTTTTAATAGTCACGCACAAGATCAAGAAATGCTAAATATTTTAGTATTATTATGTTACAATAGGATTGAGTCTATATAGCTATTAAAAAACACCATTTATTAGGTTTAGTGGCACGAGGTATTATCACCCGTGCACAGGGTTCACGTTTTTATTTTATTTACTTGTGTGTGGCTTCCGCAGATGCAGCTCTGGCCTGTGATATTTGGGGCTGTCCTAGCCCAGGTTGGTGCTGATGTGTGTCCAGATGCAGGCAGATGCAAAGAGGGTCAAACCTGCTGCCACAGCCCAACTAATGGGTTTGAATGCTGTCCATTTGATCAGGTAGATGACATCAGACTTTTCTGCTTTTATTTTGACCAAATTTGGTCTGATTTAATTGTGGCTGCCATAAATTTGGTCAAGCTTTGTATGCATTTTCATGAGTTCAGTGGATTAGGTCAATAGTTGGCTTAGTTTTAGTACCTGAGTTGGAATTTGCAATACATAATTCAATTATTAGAAAATGCAAATTAGTGTCTGGAAATTTTGACTTTTTTCAAATTTCAAATTTGAAAATTTGACTTTTTTATTACAATTTCTTGAAAGAGCTGAGATGTTGTGGGATGTTTTTAACATAGAATTTTTATACATACCTATTTAGTGGATGTGCTTGAATACATTAATGTTGTTGAAGTTCATTTGTGCAACTTCACTTAAAGTCAGAATTAAACTGCTAGAAAACAGGCCACTTATTTACAAATGTATTCTTATCCACAACTGTTCAATGTTCCTTTTCAGTGAAATAGAAAGTAAAAACGTTATACTGTGTTACTGAGCAAACTCATCCAGAGGCAGCAACACCTAGAAACCAACACTGATTAAATCAACCAAATCCTGTTTTAACAAAGGAAAATTTGGTTAATTCATGTATTTTATTGTAATTATAGTGCTGAGTGCAAACATTGTGAGAGATTGCTTTAACAGGATTATCTAATTAGTTTATTGTACTTGGTTTAAGTTACCTTTACTTTAACTTCTACTCATGTATAAGTATTTCAATTGACTCAATTAATGACATCATTTTTAAATGATTCATTTAACCTATCCTACATTAGTGATGGGAATTACGGCTCTTTTTAGAGAGCCGGTTCTTTTGGCTCAGCTCACCAAAAAGAGCCGGCTCTTTCGGCTCCCAAGTGGCTCCTCAGATTTTCTGTTGCGTAGAGTACATTTATATCCAAAACAATGCTAGAAATCTCCACTTTCCGACTGCTGGCGCTCATTTTCTCACCGTCTTCGTCGCACTCTCCTCCCTCTCGCTCGCCTTTTTCCTCCTCCTCATTCCCTCTCGTCTCCCTCCTCCCACATGTGCTCTGCTGTGTGTCTGTCTGAGTATGATCCTCCCTCTTCCCCGCCCCTACTGCTCTGTGTGTGGACAGTCTGGACACACAGTTACACATGTTGACCAATCGCCTGTAGCTTTCACCAAGGCAGGGGGGAGGGGGGAGGGGGGAGGGGAGGGGACGGCTCCCAATGACGAGCCGGCTCCCGTCGTTCACTTCAAAGAGCCGGCTCTTAGAGCCGGTTCGTTCACGACCGACACATCACTATCCTACATGTTATCTGTCACATTTTAATTATTCCTTATGTCTAGATTATAGTTAAATAGACATAGAAGATAATGTTTCTCTTGTACTCTAAATTTAAAGTAATTCCTCAGTACTACTATTTGGCCTTGGTGCTGTTTTACTACTTTATGAGTCAGATAAAAGCTCTGAGCTCTCTCACAAGGAGTGATAGTCATTCTAATTTTGCAAGTCAAAGTGTTCCTACTAGAGCAGTGGCTGAACGGGGTTGTCCAGTGATCTGAAGGTGAGTGGTTTGATCCCCAGGCATCACGGTCCATAAGTGGGCTGAAGCATCCTTGGGCAAGTTACTGAACCCTGAAAGTTGCCCCATATGGCAACCCACTGCTCCTCAGGCATGGGTCAAATGCAGAGAGGGCATCAATAAAGTATAAATGATTCATCATAAATCCTTACTCCTGCCTCCACAGGCTGAATGCTGTGAGGATCACATTCATTGCTGTCCAGCAGACACACTCTGTGAACCGACAAACTCTCGATGTGTGAACGCCACGGTCTCCATCCCATGGGCAGAAAGGGCTTCTGCAGATCAGCCACAAATCTCCAAAGTATGTTTTTTATTTAAATTATGACACTGGATTGAAACATTCTGACCAGTGGCTCCTCACTTATTGTCCCCGCAGTCCTTTAGGATGATCAAGTCATACACGGGTGAGGACGACGATAATGTCTGTGCCGACCAGTCGCGATGTCCTTCTGAGTTTTCCTGTTTGAAAGCTTTGACCAGATACGGCTGCTGCCCTTTAGCAAAGGTAAGCAAGCCCATGTAGATAAAATACGAGACCTTCCACGAGTTCACTCAGAAGTTATCAAAAGAAATAAAACATTGATGGCTTCATGTGAAGTGAAGAAATAAGAGTTCACACAAACCTGGAGCTGGCATTGCTTATTTTATTTACTATAACCAGATATTCTCTCTTTTTTTTTTGTCTCATTTCAAAATAAAACCAAAGAGCTGACTTTGGTTTGGATGGATGACAACTTTAAAAAGTTCACAACAGATTTTATTTGAAGCTGTCACACACATTTTAAATTTACTTTGACACAGTAAAGTAAAAAGATTTTTTTGGTAAATAAATGTAACTTTATGGTGAATGGCCTGTGTTTGCATAGCGCCTTCTTAGGGTTCTCCAACCCCCCAAGGCACTTCACAACACAATCAGTCACACACACATTCACACACTTTATTGTATTTTCCAGCAACTCAGTTAAATAATGTGAAAAATCTCTGCTGAATGTTTTGTGGATTTATTTCACTGTTTTTGTGAGTGCTGGAGACAAACAGACACGTCACGAATTCTTACAACGTTTAACCGAACACAAACATTATTCACACGTCTGAGAGGAAAGAGTCAAGACCACACCAGGTTTTGAGCTTCCGGATCAAAAATTGGTCTTAGGTGAAGGGTGAGACAAAGAACGGTTCGAAGGATCTTTCATGGCGGTTAAAACGAAGAGTCGGAGTACCCGGCCCGGAGGGTTACCGGGGTCCCACCCTGGAGCCAGGCCTGGGGTTGGGGCCCGTGAGCGAGCGCCTGGTGGCCGGGCTTTCGCCCATGGGGCCCGGCTGGGCCCAGCCCGAACCGGATACATGGGCTCGTCCAACTGTGGACCCACCACCCGCAGGAGGAACATGAAGGGTCCGGTGCAATGCGAATCGGGTGGCAGACCAAGGCGGGAGCCTTGGCGGTCCAATCCCCGGACAAGAAAACTAGTTTTTGGGACATGGAACGTCACCTCGCTGGCGGGGAAGGAGCCGGAGCTTGTGGCAGAGGTTGAGCGGTACCGGCTAGATATAGTCGGACTCACCTCGACACATTGCATTGGCTCTGGAACCCGAGACCTGGAGAGGGGTTGGACACTCTACTTTGCTGGAGTTGCTCCGGGTGAGAGGCGGAGGGCTGGGGTTGGCTTTTTGTTAGCCCCGAGACTCTCTGCCTGTGTGTTGGGGTTTACCCCGGGGGACAAGAGGGTAGCTTCCTTGCGCCTTCGGGTCGGGGAACGGGTCCTGACTGTTGTTTGTGCTTATGGGCCAAATATCAGTTCAGAGTACCCACCCTTTTTGGAGTCCCTGGGATGAGTGCTAGACAGTGCTCCATCAGGGGACTCCATTGTCCTGCTGGGGGACTTCAATGCTCACGTGGGCAATGACAGCTTGACCTGGAGGGGTGTGATTGGGAGGAACGGCCCACCTAATCAGAACTCGAGCGGTGTTTTGTTATTGGACTTCTGTGCAAGCCGCAGTTTGGCCATAACGAACACCATGTTCGAACATAAGGATGCCCACCGGTACACTTGGTACCAGGGCAGCCTAGGTCACAGGTCGATGATAGATTTTGTAGTCGTATCATCTGACCTGCGGCCGTATGTTTTGGACACCCGAGTGAAGAGAGGGGCGGAGCTGTCAACTGATCACCACCTGGTGGTGAGTTGGATCAGATGGCAAGGGAACATGCCGCGTAGACCTGGCAGACCCAAACGCATAGTGAGGGTCTGCTGGGAACGCCTGGCAGAAGAACCTGTCAAGACGGTCTTCAACTCCCACCTCCGGCAGAGCTTTGACCGCGTCCCGAGAGCAGTGGGAGACATTGAGTCCGAGTGGGCCTTGTTCCACTCTGCGATTGTCGAGGCGGCTGTTGCTAGCTGTGGTCGTAAGGTGGCCGGTGCCAGTCGTGGTGGCAACCCCCGTACCCGCTGGTGGACACCAGAGGTTCGGGGAGCCGTCAGGCTGAAGAAGGAGGCCTACAGGGCGTGGCTGGTCTGTGGGTCTCCGGAGGCAGCAGACAGGTACCGGATAGCCAAGCGGGGTGCAGCAGTGGCAGTTGCCGAGGCAAAATCTCGGGCGTGGGAGGAGTTTGGTGAGGCCATGGAGAAAGACTATCGATCGGCTCCAAAGAGGTTCTGGCAAACTGTCCGGCGCCTCAGGAGAGGAAGGCAGCAACTCGCTCACACTGTTTACAGTGGGCATGGGGAGCTGCTGACGTCAACTGAGGCTATAGTCGGACGGTGGAAGGAATACTTTGAGGAGCTCCTCAATCCCACCAATGCGCATTCCGAGGAGGAACCAGAGCTGGGAGGCCTGGGGATGGACTGTCCGATCTCGGGGGCAGAAGTTGCTGAGGTAGTCAAACAACTACACAGCGGCGGAGCCCCGGGGGCGGATGAGGTTCGTCCTGGGTATCTCAAGGCTATGGATGTTGTAGGGCTGTCATGGTTGACACGTCTCTACAACATTGCGTGGTCATCGGGGGCAGTTCCTAGGGAGTGGCAGACCGGGGTGGTGGTCCCCATTTTTAAGAAGGGTGACCTGAGGGTGTGTTCCAACTATAGGGGGATCACACTCCTCAGCCTCCCTGGAAAGGTCTACGCCAAGGTACTGGAGAGGAGGGTCCGATCGATAGTTGAATCTCAGATAGAGGAGGAGCAATGTGGTTTTCGTCCTGGCCGTGGAACTGTGGACCAGCTCTATACCATTGCAAGGGTGATGGAGGGGGCATGGGAGTTTGCCCAACCAATCCACATGTGCTTTGTGGATTTGGAGAAGGCTTATGACCGTGTCCCCAGGGGCACCCTGTGGGGGACGCTCCAGGAGTATGGGGTGGGTGGCTTTCTGTTAAGGGCCATTCAGTCCCTTTACCAGAGGAGCGTGAGTTTGGTCCGCATAGCCGGTAGTAAGTCGGACCTGTTCCCAGTGAGGGTTGGACTCCGCCAGGGCTGCCCTTTGTCACCGGTTCTGTTCATCACTTTTATGGACAGAATTTCTAGACGCAGCCGTGGTGTGGAGTGTGTCGAGTTTGGTGGCAGGAGAATCTCGTCTCTGCTTTTTGCGGATGATGTGGTCCTCCTAGCTTCATCCAGCTCTGACCTTCAGCTCTTGCTGGGTAGGTTCGCGGCCGAATGTGAAGCGGCTGGGATGAGGATCAGCACCTCCAAATCTGAGACCATGGTTCTCGACCGGAAAAGGGTGGCTTGCCACCTCCAGGTCGGGGGAGAGGTCCTACCTCAAGTGGAGGAGTTCAAGTATCTCGGGGTCTTGTTCACGAGTGAGGGTAGGAGGGATCGGGAGATCGACAGGCGGATTGGTTCGGCGTCTGCAGTGATGCGGACGCTGAGCCGATCTGTCGTGGGGAAGAGGGAGCTGAGCCAGAAAGCCAGGCTCTCGATTTACCGGTCGATCTACGTCCCAATCCTCACCTATGGTCATGAGCTTTGGGTAATGACCGAAAGAACGAGATCGCGGATACAAGCGGCCGAAATGAGTTTCCTCCGTAGGGTGGCCGGGCTCAGCCTTAGAGATAGGGTGAGGAGCTCGGACATTCGGGAGGGACTCGGAGTAGAACCGCTGCTCCTCCGGATCGAAAGGAGCCAGTTGAGGTGGTTTGGGCATCTGGTCAGGATGCCTCCTGGACGCCTCCCCGGGGAGGTTTTTCGGGCATGTCCTGCCGGCAGAAGGCCCCCGGGTCGACCCAGGACACGTTGGAGAGGTTACATCTCCAATCTGGTCCGGGAACGCCTTGGGGTCCTGCCGGAGGAGCTGGTGGACAAGGCCGGGGAGAGGACGGCCTGGAGCTCCCTAATTGGGATGCTGCCCCCGCGACCCGGACCCGGATAAGCGGAGGAAGACGAAGACGACGACGGATCAAACAGGATGCAGGTTAACAGTTCATGTCTGCACTCTGCAATGAAAAATGACCAGAGCAAGGTTAATTTATGATTACACACAAAAACATGTTTTTCTCCCTTTTCTAATAGTAATGCACATAAAGATATGAGCTAACTTCATTCCAGAGTTGATTTTCACAGTAAAATGTTAGCGTTATTGTAGAGACTAAAGCAAATAAAAAAATGCATGTTTCAGTGCTTCTGTTGAGATAGTTTTAACCTGTTGACCTCCAACAGGGGGTCTCCTGCCCTGATGGGAAACACTGCTGTCCTGAGGGCCACCGGTGCAGCAATGCTTGCCGCTCCTGCATCAAAAAAGGTTGAATTCCTGCTGTAGGATATTTAATTTTGTTAATCCTTAATGATTTTGTGTCAGCTTTTATATTTAGTCCGACTTGTTTTGCTGTGAAAGACGTTGCACCTATAGTTCTGTGCGACGACGACGTGTCTGAGTGTCCAGATGGAGCGTCCTGCTGTGAAAATCCAGACGGCATGTGGGGGTGCTGTCCAGTCGCTAAGGTACACAATGTCTGCCCTTTGTTTTTATCGTAGACAGCTGTTTAATGCAACGGAAACTAAAAACTGTGAGATAATAAAAGAGTAAACAGTCAAATGATGCATTTGCATGTCTTGTCTTGACACCCAGTTATCGTCTCTTTATTGTGTCTTATCCTTCAGAATACAGCTAATTTGGCTTTATTGTCTGGACAGGCTGTGTGCTGCGAGGATAAGTTACACTGCTGCACTGAGGGGACAGTGTGTGACATCAAACACAGGAAATGTATCTCTGAATCTAACGCAGAGTCTCCGATGTGGGACAAGCTCCCTGCCCGGTTGAGAGCAGACTGGGAGAACCAGAAAGGTCCAACTGCTTGTCTCTGTTTCAAACATTTTACATTTCACTTCTTATACTAATTCAATCAACGTGCATTCTAGATGGTGAAAGGGTTATTTCCAAGGCAGCCGAGCATGCTGAACTGGACAAATCCCCTGAAAGCACCACAGTGAGTTCAGTTCCCTCTTTTGAGAAGGACGGTTCTGTAACGGCAGAAACAGGTGAGATATCAGTTTTTATGCTGCAGCTGCTCACAATGCTCAAAATAAAATGTGCAACTCTATATCCTTATGTTTAGACAAAAGTGTCCCCTGTAATGAGACAGCAGCATGTCCAGATGATAACACCTGCTGTAAAACTACAACTGGAGACTGGGCCTGCTGTCCTCTGTTAGAGGTAAACTCAACAAAGAGCATTATGATGATCTGGACACAGGCTGTGGACCATGTTTCACTAATGGGCCATTCCCATCTGTACCGGGTCAGCCCGGGCCGGGTAGCCCCAGTCGGCCCCAGCCTGGCCCGGTTGATTCCACACATCCTTGCCCAGAGGCGGAGCTGGCCTAAATGGCGCCCTGTGCGAGATCCCCCGTGACACCCCCCCCCCCCCCACCCCCCCCCCCCCCACACACACACACACACACACAAGAAAAAAAATTACACCTACAACTTTGTTTCAAATTGCGTGGAGTGTATATATAACAACGTTTGCTAACTGAATACAACATCCAGCTCCTGGCCACCTTCTCACCACTTGTCAAAGTTCTACTGAAATAGTGATGATGACAACACCTGCCATCGCCTTCATTCCTGGGAAATATGAAAGTAGTTGGCACCTTGGTAGGTCCTCCTCAAACTAGCTCTGTGCGTATGCTGTCGGTAATTGGTGATGGCCACTTGGCTGGGTCTGACGAAAGAGGCTCATCATCACCTTCAATGGGACTCATTGGTTGATCGTTCAGGCTTCTCTATTGACAGAAAACAGAAGCGTAACTCAACACATTGCTATGTGGACCATTTCACATATTCTATTAAAATACAATATGTGACATTCAAATTTCTCTAATGTTTGCAGGACACACACACACACACACACACTTGTGCAAAACTTACCTGACATATCTTGTTGGGGAGACGTGGCAGCTGGCTGTCCCTCTCATCAAGTTCACATATACTGGTAGGTCTATCTATTGACAGAAAATGGAAGCATAACTCACCACATTGCTATATGGAACAATTCCCATATTCTGTGAAAATACTATTTAAATGTCTATAGCTAAATGTTTGCTGGACACACACACGTGTGCAAAACCCACCTAAAGTATCTTCCTGGGGAGATGTGGTGCCAGCAGACTATCCCTCCTCGAGTTCAAATACTGGCCTACTGGTATGAGCAGTGGAGGTAGATGGCTGTTCCTCAGTGGCAGCTGATGTCATCCCAAAATGTCTGCGTAGGGCTCCTGATGTTGCATAAAACAAACAATACAATCTTCATGTCACGTCTGTTGCTTCAGCATTTTAATTAACATGTTACAATGAGCATTTACAGTTTTCAGCAGTGGTGGAAAGAATTCTGATAATCTGTACTCAAGTACAAGTACTGTTACATTGCTAAAGTATTACTCATTTACAAGTAAAAGTACTGCTGTTAGAGAAATACTCAAGTAAAAGTAGAAATTATTAATAAAAACCTCAGAGTATTATTTATTTTTAACGGCTGATGTCACCATCACTTCTCCAGACTGGGGCTGCCTGGAAATTGTGTGTTTTCCTTTACCAAAAGTTAAAACACCAACAATCTATTAATCATTAATAATTGATAAAATACAAAACAAGTGTTTTTCCCTAATTTTTTTGTCATTTTAAGTTTTTATTTCCTTATTCAGCAAATGTCTCCGGCACACAAAGAACTAAATGACCAGAGGAGCCACAACTATTGATTAAATATCCATGAATCCATTTTAACTGGTTAAATTCTTCAACTCTCCCACGCTGCTTCAAGGTCACTGTGAGTTTTTAACATAGTCGCGGTGTGCTGTGCAGCACACTTAACGCAACACGATGACATCATCGACTTGTACAGTGCTGAAAGGCGAGACAGTCTCAACTTTCAGCTAAAAAGACCACTCTAGCTATTATAGTTTTTATGTTATGGCAGTTTACAGTATAAACGGGATCTTACCAGCAGGGAACCTCCAGCGGCCCGCTGCTGCTCCGTTCTTCGTGGGGTAAATAATACGTAGCTCATTTCCCGAGTCCAAAAAGAAAGGCGAATGGCGCCGGCGCGAGACCTGCCGCCCGCCGTCAATGTATTTCAGCAAAATTCTCAAAGACTCATTTTAATTTGATAGCGTTTGGTTATCAGCCTTTCGGTTTTCCCACTCTTAGCTTTTCATAAAAGCTCATTTGACAAAGAAAAAGCTAGCGGTTGGAAATAGTTCTAAATACATGCAACGTAAGAAGCTAGCAAAAGACATTTGAAAGGATCACCATAGCACCATGCAAAACGTTCAGATTAGAGAGGTTAGTTAATCAAAAAGTTGGGGGACAGGCGGGAAAAATACCAACTAAATAATAAAGAGATGCATACCTGCATCTTTTCCTCGTTTCTCCTCCTCTTCTTTTCTTTTTTTCCGAAATTGGGCACCAGATGGCTTCGACCGCTTCTTCTCCATTATGTTTGTGAGTGGTGATGTGTGAAACGGTACCTGTATCCCTCCATCATCATTCTCCGAGATCCCTCCGCCCCCCACCTGATGAAGGGCGCTATAGAGCGCACTACAGAGGCGCGGCGGACACAAGGGGGCGCAATAAAATCCCAATATAAACGCAAACAATGACTTTGTTGTGCTTTTATTACAGAAATATTATTATTATCATCACTCATCACTATTATTATTATGAAGAACATGTGATTTCTATGTTTTGTTGATGTATCGGTTGATGGAGGAAAAATAAAAAATAAATAAATTAAAAAAAAGAAATTAAATGCCGCCCCCTCCAGGCTGCCGCCCTGTTCGGCCGCACATGTTGCACATATCAAGCTCCGCCACTGTCCTTGCCTTAAGCCCATGTGGGCTGATTCTACCCACCAATCAGAGGCTTGCTCTAATGGAAGGTGTGGATTTGCTGTCAGCAGTGGGTGTGTTGGCCCTGGTCGGCCTGAAGCAGACCCCCTCGAGAAGAGGGCTGAGAATGAGCCTTGGTTGGCCCGGAAAAATACCAGGCCACCCAGATATGTAAACAACCTACGCTACCCGGCCCGGGCCGACCCGGTACAGATGGGAATGGCCCATTAAAGTCTTTGACCTGGCGAGTTTCTCTATATTTGCTAAACATGTTTCAAACACTGTTGTGGTGGCCTGTTGGCTTCTTCAGAACGTGATCTCCAGCTTTCACTGGAGCGGTTTGCAGGCGAGTGTTTAGAAGCTGGGTTACCCGAGACCATGGTCTTGAGTGGGAAACGGTGGAACGTCTTCGCCGGGTCAGGGACGAGGTCCTGCCTCAAGTGGAGGAGCTTAAATATCTCGGGGTCTTGTTCACAAGTGAGGGAAAGACGGAGCGTGAGATCGTTAGGCAGATTGGTGCTGCGTCTGCAGTGATGCGGGCGTTGTACCGGTCTGTGATGAAGAGAGAGCTGAGCCGGAAGACGACGCTCAAAATTTACTGGTTGATCTTCGTTCCTACCCTCACCGATGGTCAGGAGCTTTGGGTAGTGAACAAAAGAATGAGATTGCAGATTAAAGCGGCTGAAATAAGTTTTCCCCTCAGGGTGGCTGGGCTCTCCCTTAGAGTATTGGGAAGAAGCTCGGTCATCTGGGAGGGGCACAGAGTAGATCTGCTGCTCCTCCACATCAAGAGGAACCAGTTAAGGTGGCTCAGGCATCTGATTAGGATGCCTCCCTGGGGAGGTTTTTCAGACACGTTCGACTGGAAGGAGACCTAAAGGAAGACCCAGGACACGCTGCAGGGACTATGTCTCTGTGTTGTCCTGGGAACACCGTAGGATTCCCCAGGAGGAGCTGGCCCAGGTGGCTGGGAAGAGGGAAGTCTGGACCTCTCTGTTCATGGATGGATGGATGTTCCAAACACACAGCTGTCAATACCATATAATTAGTCACTCCAAGAGTCCTTTTTATTTGGGGTTACTGAGTTTAGAACAGTTAATTCTGGTGTAGCGTGTGCAAAAAGCTTCATGCATCACTTAAACGTGCTTCCTATCGGGGAAATGGGAACCCTAAAATCCTTTTGTTAGAACGTGCCTGTAGCATCGATTTCTAGTTGGCTGACGTTTGCATTAAAACAGCCCAATCACCATCGAATGGAACCAGCTGTCAGATTAAATAAAACACATCTGCTGCTACAAGGTGGTTGGCACATGCAGTTGTTCAAGTGCGACTGAAGGTTTTGTCACTTCTTCTGTGACCAGGCGGTTTGTTGTGAGGACAAGGAGCACTGCTGCCCAGCTAAGACCACATGTGACCTGACCACCTCAGCTTGCATCAGCGGTTCAGACTCAACACCCATGAAGCAGAAAATCCCTGCACTTACTGAAACTTCCTCCACTGTGGAAACTACACTTCAGATGACAACCCCAACGCAGGTTGTCCAGGTAGAAGAGGTTTCTACACCGGAGACAGAGGAGAAGGATGAAAAGGAGGAGGAGGAGAAGAGCATGGAAGGGGTGAAGGACAGGGTTCCTTGTGACGACCACACCAGCTGTCCTGACGACACAACATGCTGCTTCATAGCTTCTCTTAAGAAGTGGGGCTGCTGCCCGCTACCGAAGGTAAGCTCCTCCCCTTCAAAACATCACTGACCACCAAACAATCACATTCAACAGGAATATTTCATTGTTTAGCAGCACATTGGTAGCAAGGCTGCAGCGAGAAGGTTCTGGGTTCAAATCCCAACCTGGGCTCTTTCTGCATGGAGTTTGTATGCTCTCCTTCTGTGTGTGTGTGTGTGTGTGTGTGTGTGTGTGTGTGTGTGTGTGTGTGTGTGTGTGTGTGTGTGTGTGTGTGTTGCCCTGCGATGGTCTGGTGACCTGTCCATCCCCTCCAAACCCTGCATGGATAAGCAGGTGTTGATCATGGATGCTTTTCATTGTCTATAAGTCACACTGCGTGTAAAATGCCATCAGCATGTTTGATTTCTGTTGAATTTTATGAAAAAGTGAAGCAGATATGCAGTGGGGCAAAAAAGTATTTAGTCAGCCACCGATTGTGCAAGTTCTCCCACTTAAAATGATGACAGATGTCAGTAATTTTCATCATAGGTACACTTCAACTGTGAGAGACAGAATGTGAAAAAAAAATCCATGAATTCACATGGCAGGATTTTTAAAGAATTTATTTGTAAATCAGGGTGGAAAATAAGTATTTGGTCACTTCAAACAAGGAAAATCTCTGGCTCTCACAGACCTGTAACGTCTTCTTTAAGAAGCTTTTCTGTCCTCCACTCGTTACCTGTATTAATGGCACCTGTTTGAACGCATTATCTGTATAAAAGACACCTGTCCACAGCCTCAAACAGTCAGACTCCAAACTCCACTATGGCCAAGACCAAAGAGCTTTCGAAGAACACCAGGAAAAGATTTGTAGACCTGCACCAGACTGGGAAGAGTGAATCTACAATAGGCAAGCAGCTTGGTGTGAAAAAATCAACTGTGGGAGCAATTATCAGAAAATGGAAGACATACAAGACCACTGATAATCACCCTCGATCTGGGGCTCCACGCAAGATCTCATCCCGTGGGGTCAAAATGATCATGAGAACGGTGAGCAAGAATCCCAGAACCACACGGGGGGACCTGGTGAATTTTAAGTGGGAGAACTTGCACAATCGGTGGCTGACTAAATACTTTTTTGCCCCACTGTAACGATCTAAACCACATCTTTTTATTAAACTAAATTAAAATAAAAACAGTTGGGATGATAAGTTTCACCTCTTGGTCAAGTACAATCTGGTCATGTAAAAAGAAATACTTTATAAATGGACACAATAACAGGAAGTGCACAGATGCTTATAGGAAATGAAGGTGACTACTTAAATGAATACAAACACACAAAATAACAACTGTATATAATACTGAAAACAAAACATTTAAAGATTGTTAAACATCTCAACCCTTTTGTTGTGTCTTTGTCAGCAGAGAGTCACTTCTCTCCATTGTTGCTGCTCACATAAACCATTTGGCTAAATTGAAGTCGGGCCCTTCCACTCTGCGTGAACCAACCGTTTATTACAAAAGCAGAACTGAAGACTGATGTGAAAGTTGCTCCTTCTCTTTTTCACTTCTCACCAGGCGGTGTGCTGCAGTGACGGGGCCCACTGCTGTCCCTCCGACTACCAGTGTGACGAGAGTCAAACCTCATGCATCAAAAATGAAGTGGTGATCCCATGGTACACCAAGATTCCAGCCACCATCAACGTTCAGGCTATTCCCAGCTCAGTGCAAAGCAAGTGTCCCAAACTCAAATCCTGCTGTAGGCTGTTCACGGGCGAGTGGGGCTGCTGCCCGCTGCAAAATGTGAGCACTGCTGTTTCCAAAAGAGAAGAAGCTTTGATGAGAAAACAATTAAAGTTCATCAGTAAAGGTTTGCTTGAATAAACTAAGGGGTGGTGTGCACTGTGTGCAGGCTGTGTGCTGCTCTGACATGGAGCACTGCTGCCCTCAGGGTTACACCTGTGACATCATCTCCAAGTCCTGTCAGAGGGTCATCATGCTGGAGGTGGAGACCATCCCACTGACACCAGTCTATCAGCTGGAGCACCACCTCCAGCTCACAAAGCACAGAGACATCCTTTGTGACGACCACATTAAGTGCAAAGATGGCGAGACCTGCTGCAGGGCGTCTGCCACCTCCTGGGGCTGCTGCCCATCTCCTAATGTATGACACCGTTTTCAGTGTCTTTTTACGCTCTTCAAGCTCACTTAAAATACGTGTTTTCTAATTTACATTCAGAATTTGTGTTTTCTTTTTAAAACAAGTAACTTTCTGAACAAAAGCCTCCTCTGCTCCCCCTGCAGGCGGTGTGCTGCAGCGACATGAAGCGCTGCTGCCCCACTGGCTACAGATGCGCCGCAGAGGGCACCTGCAGCCAGAACTCAGGGTCCAACTGGCACAACTGGGACTTCTTTCACACCAATAAGAAGAGAGCTCTAGTTCTGTGAAAACCTCGCTGTGCTGATTATTTGCACATGCAGTGAAACCATAGGGGTGAACATGAATATGTTTGCTCTGAGAATATTGTAAATGGTGAAGGACGTACTACTTCTTAACGAGCAAGTCACCCCCTACAAGAAACTTACTTCACTCCTACTTCATGTTTGAAAAATGCAACAAATGCTGTTGCTTGGCAGAGCGGGAGGGCGGAGCCACTAACAAATACACACGCACACAGGCTCACAACGGCATTATGACATCATAATGTACCAGATGACATCGTAGCATACCTCTTAGCCAATAGCGGTGGTGGATTTAAATTCAGATACAGTGCAGAATTTTCCCTGACGACGGCGCAACACTGACAGTTTTAGGCATAATATTTGAATTTTAACCAAGATGCACTGAAGTGCCAAATTATTGACTACACGTGTCTGCAGCATGATTAGACACTCCTTTATATAGTTTATCAGCAAAAAAAAAGTGATTTGGGGGTGACTTGCTCTTTAAGCCACACTGCATTTAAACAATATTTTACTTATTTATAAAGTACAATCAAATGAATAATGTCACATGGAAAAATATTTACTGATCATCTTCCTTCTCATTTGAAAAAATAAAGTAATTTTGTGCTTGAAGCAACTCAACCTATCAAGAATTTACTGATTTCTGTTTTCCATTAAACCTTTAAACAATAAACGATTTTGCTAAAAGTTGTTCGTTGCTCGATGTTGTCTGTCAGCTACACCCCGCAAACAAGATTAAAATCACTTTTATTGACAACTGAGTGTTCAATCTAGCCTGCTTTTAGTAATAATGACATGCTAATATAAGATGAAAATGTTTTAATATATGTAAAAATGTTGTCCACCTTCAGTTATTTATATTTTACAGAAAATTATAGTGATTCATGCATTAAATTGTTTGCAATTTGTTTGCAAATGAGTAAAAAAGATTTTTTATACTGTAGCATACCCAAAGGCCAGTATTTGCATCACCAATGACCAGAAATTCACTTTCTAATTTGCAGACGCCCCTTCTGTCTGGCCTCCAAACAGGAAGGCACCGCACAAGACCTTGTCACAGAACAAAGAAGCCATGACATCTTTGCTCAAGGTTTCATGCAGAAGACGAGACCTCCACTCTCTGAATAAAATGAATCTTCCTTGAATCATAAATGACTTTTTAAAACGTGAAAATTGCATGAGTGTTATGTCTCTCGTTAAATAATCTGTGCATTAATCGATGATGTGTTAAAAATAATATTTGTTTCAGATCTTAAATTACACCAGATCAGTATTTGTTGATTTAACTCCTGCATCATAGATTAATATTAAGGTTTCAACGGTTTTTGCTCCACATAAACATGTAATAACATTCTCACTGCATCACCACAAAGAGTTAACCTCTCTGAATAGCTGAGGGAAGGCGTGATTGCTGAGGTATTTTGGTAATGCCCTTTAAGTCTGTCAAATTTTGATTTGTCCAAGTTTATAAACCATGAAGTTGAATCACTTCCTGATCTAGTTAGTCTTCTCTGTTCACTTGATGAGGCCAGTCGGGTGAACAAGCATTTTGAGACCATCCTATCTTTTGACCTCAAGGTCAAAGTCTCTGCGATGCTTGCGAGTGATTTCAGACACAACGGCTCTTCTAAGAGCCGCCAAACAGCCTTAGACACAAAATGGACACTCCAGTTTCCTGCCGCCACCTGAAGATAACCCAGACTAGACGGGTCTTACTCTGAGCTGGCTACAAGCTCCGGTACAAGAGGTCCACGCCATTGACAGTGTCCATCTCGACCTCCTGACCCCCTGGATCGCTTGGGGATCTTCACACAAGGGCGCGTAGACTCTGCACGATTGCGTCGGATGGTTTTATAAACAAATCTCCAGCTTATCAAACCATGCAGCCAAATTGATTTTACTACCCAGACTCCACAATGTCTCTCAGATATTTAAGAAAGGTTTTGCTAAAACATCTAGCTCACATTCCCTCATTCCATCCATCATCTGTTATCTGTACAACCATCATTTGTCAGGTACAATCATTAGTTTAGGAAAAAAGAATTAAAATCATTTTTATAACTAAATTCTTGACGTGATTTAATATGAAGTGTGTGTTCCCTGAATAAGTCAAAGAACCTAAAGTCTTCTGATTAAACATTCAAACACCAATCAGATTGACATTTCATATTGATATGGAACATGACATCTTATTGATCATTTCATATATATGTAGTCAATCCTTAACACTCATCTGATTACCGTATGTAAAACTTCTACAAAATTTAGGACGATGTTGCCATGATATTGTTTCAAAATACAACTATGGTTGGCACATTTCATTTCCAAAGGCTGAGTTAATGAAGTCACAGGCACGCATCTCCTTGGAGTCCTGCCACGTTCCAGCTTGCTTTAAGCAGTCCACCATTGTCCCGTCCCAAAGAAACCCCGTGTCACTGGACTGAATGATTACAGGCCTGTGGCGCTGACGTCTGTAGTCATGAAGTCTTTTGAGCGCCTGGTCCTCCCTCATCTCAAGTCCTTCACCTCCCCCCTCCTGGACCCTCTGCAGTTCGCATACAGAGCTAATAGGTCTGTAGATGACGCCATCAACCTGGCCCTACACTTCATCCTGCAGCGCCTGGACTCCCCGGGAACCTACACTAGGATCCTGTTTGTGGACTTCAGCTCTGCGTTCAATACCATCCTCCCTGCTCTGCTCCAGGACAAGCTCTCCATGCTCAACGTACCCAACTCCACCTGCAGGTGGATCACTGACTTCCTGACAGACCGTAGGCAGTGCGTGCGGCTGGGGAAGAATGTTTCCACCATTCAGACAATTAGCACAGGATCCCCACAGGGCTGTGTTCTTTCTCCTCTGCTCTTCTCCCTGTACACAAACTGCTGCACCTCGAGCCATGACTCCGTTAAACTGATCAAGTTTGCGGACGACACCACCCTCATCGGGCTCATCTCTGACGGTGATGAGTCCGCCTACAGGAGGGAGGTGGAACGGCTGGTGCACTGGTGCAGCAGCAACAACCTGGAGCTCAATGCTCAGAAGACAGTGGAGATGATTGTGGACTTCAGGAAAGTCACAGCCCCATCTCTCCCCCTCGTCCTGACGGACACCCCCGTCACCACTGTGGACTCCTTCCGCTTCCTCGGAACCACCATCACACATGACCTTAGGTGGGAGCCATCCATCAGCTCCCTGATCAAAAAGGCCCAGCAGAGGATGTACTTCCTGCGGCAGTTGAAAAAGGCCAAGCTGCCGGCCCAGATGATGGTGCAGTTTTACACGGCCATCATTGAGTCCATCCTCACCTCCTCCATCGCTGTGTGGCACGCTGGAGCCACAGTGAGGGACAAACATAGACTGCAGCGCATTGTGCGCTCTGCTGAGAAGGTGATTGGCTGCAGCCTTCCATCTCTCCAGGACCTGTACGTCTCCAGAACTCGGGGGCGTGCAGGTCGGATAGCAGCTGACCCTTCTCACCCGGGACACAGACTTTTTGAGCCGCTTCCCTCGGGCAGGAGGTTACGGTGCATCCAGACCAGAACCTCCCGCCATAAGAACAGCTTCTTTCCATCTGCCGTTAGACTTGTGAACAGCTTATAAGTACACAACCATGTTCGTCTGCTGTACTTGACATAACGTCACGTTATCGGCCATGTTACCATTACCTGCCCTTTTTTTTTATAGCTGAATGTTTTATGCTAGTTTTATTATATTTTATTCTACTTATTCTATTTTTGAAATTTATTATTCATGTTATATGAAGCACATTAGTACCGAAGCAAGTTCCTAGTTTGTGAACTGCTTGTTCACTGACAATGGCAATAAACCTTTTCTGATTCTGATGTTTGCTGAACAGTGTCACGATACTTTTGAAAGGGAGATTTTGGCCATTTTTGAAGTATTTCTCTGGGTATAAATAATTACTCTTTAACTAATTGTAGATTAAATGAGTTTTATGGCTCACTGGGCTGATAAGTAGAAGCTAAGCACTTGCATTGGCAGCTCCACAACATGGCAGACCTTCTTCAGGCTTGTTTTATATGATAAAACATCAACATTGCAGAGCAAACGGAGCCAGTGGTAGAGTTGCGTTGCTGTTAGCCAATCAGAGGCGAGATGTCCAAATATCAGGAAACAAGACTCCAAAACCTGCCGTCTTTTGGCTCAAAAAAGGAGCGCCAGAGCTTTTTTTTCTCATAGAGATCGAGTCACAAGTCATTCATTTATACTGGAGACCACTGCAAATGTATTAAAACAATGGGAGAACTTGGTCTTTAAAGCTTTTAATGTGTGATAAAACCTGTATATATGTCAAAGTAAAACTAAAGGGCCATCGGTTTCAGGTTTGGAGAACTGGACTAATGACATTTAGAAAAAGAATATCCTCCTGCTTGTCCACCTCCTCCAGAGTCCAGGAGGGCCAAAACCGTCCCCTACAACACCCCAACTAGTTTGATGTTTGTCTTAAATCGACGGGCATGTGTGTGTGTAGAAGAGACTTCAAGAGCACCGTCACTTGTGAGCACCTTGATGTAGTAATGTGGGGATGGATATGCTGGTCCTTTATATGAGTATTTGGGTTTTATTTGTTCCCTATTTATCACTTAAAAATATATATACATGATCTGGAAAATTAGAAGAAAATATTTTACATTTGATATCTTTTTTCCCCAAGATTGTTGGTCGCTTTGACTATTGATTGTGTATTACTGTCTAAATAACTGTACTAAAAATAGATTGGCTGGAGTGTTTATACACATCTTCAACCTTTCCCTCTCTCTGTCTGTAGTCCCAGCCTGCTTCAAAATGGCCACCATTGTCCCTGTACCCAAATCCTCCACCATCTCCACATTGAATGACTGGCGACCTGTAGCCCTGACCCCCATCGTGAGCAAATGCTTCGAGAAGTTGGTCAGGGGCTTCATCTGCTCTGCACTGCCCGATTCAATGGACCCTCTACAGTTTGCATACCGCCACAACAGGTCCACTGATGATGCCATAGCCCTGACACTCCATGCTGCCCTGTCACACCTGGAGAAGAAGGACACGTATGTGAGAATGCTGTTTGTAGATTACAGCTCAGCATTCAACACCATCGTTCCATCGAAGCTGGACAGGAAACTGCAGAATCTAGGACTGAGCAGCTCCCTCTGCAGCTGGATCCTTAACTTTCTGTCTGACAGACGCCAGGTGGTCAGACTGGGCGGCACCACCTCATCCCCGTCACACTGAACACTGGTGCTCCACAGGGGTGTGTGCTGAGCCCTCTCCTGTACTCACTCTACACCTATGACTGCACGGCCACGAGAAACTCCAACATCATTGTGAAGTATGCGGATGACACCACAGTGGTAGGTCTCATCACTAACGACGATGAGACGGCCTACAGGGAGGAGATCAGCGCCCTGACCCACTGGTGTCAGGGCGCTGGTCTCCTCCCTGTAGGCCGTCTCATCACTAACGACGATGAGACGGCCTACAGGGAGGAGACCAGCGCCCTGACCCACTGGTGTCAGGACAACCGTCTCACCCTCAACGTCACAAAGACAAAGGAGATGATAGTGGACTTCCGGAGGAGCAGAGGAATACACATCCCCATCACCATCAACGGCGACGCTGTGGAGAGGGTGAGCAGCTTCCGTTTCCTTGGAGTTCATCTGGCTGAGGATCTTACGTGGTCAGTGCACATGAACAATAGAGTGAAGAAGGCACAGCAGCGCCTCTTCTTTCTCAGGAGACTGAAAAGATTTGGCATGAGCTGCCGCATCCTCAGGACCTTCTATCGCTGTGCCATTGAGAGCATCCTCGCTGGTTGCATCTCCGCCTGGTATGGCAACAGCACCGCTTCCAAACGCAAAGCTCTCCAGAGAGTGGTGCGGTGTGCAGAAAGGATTATTGGAGGTGAGCTTCCCTCCCTCCAAGACATCTACAGGAAGCGGTGCCTGAGGAAAGCGGGGAGGATCATCAAGGACTCAAGTCACCCCAGCCATAAACTGTTCAGACTACTTCCATCAGGAAGGAGGTTCTGCAGCATCCGGTCCAGAACCAGCAGACTGACAGACAGCTTTTTCCATCAGGCCATCAGACTGCTGAACACGTCGCAGACACCTCACCCTCACTACTGAAACTCCAACATTACACACTCCATACTGTACATTAATGCCACTGTTTTCCACATACCAACCACTGTACATTTTATATCTCTTATCTTATTGTTTACTTTATTCATTTGTATACTTAGATTAGCCATTTTTAAATTTTACTTGTTTTTACGTTACTGTATTTTTGCACAACTCTGTTGCTGTGAAGCTCGCGCACAAGAATTTCACTCGCATGTACTGTACCAGTGTACCTGCACATGTGATGTGACAATAAAAGTGATTTGATTTGATTTGAGATTGTTTACAAGTTTCTCTAAAAAATCACATTATTTTTACACGTGTGGTGATAAAAACACGAACCATATTACTTGAGGTTCTGGACCTGTTTCTGTTTGGGTTGTTTAAAACAATTGTCATGTTCTGCGTCCTGCGTCCTCCTCATGTGTCTCCTATCACCCCTTGTTAGTCCCTACTTGATTTTATATTAGTTCCCCTCATCCCTCTAGTTATCAGTTGTTTATATTTGCCCTCAGACTCTAGTTTAGTTATCCGTGTTTTATAGGTTACGGTTCATCTGCCCTCCTGCTTGTTTCTTTCCCCCCATTTAGATTATTGTATGCACCTGCCTTCCCTCCAGCTCTCACTACTCACACCTGTCACCTGTTTCCCTGATTGTTTCCCTCTGTGTATATAACCCTGTCTGTGTCTTTCAGTGTCGTTGGTTCGTTGTAATTGTCAGCGTGTTTGGCCCTCCCCTAGTTCGTGCATTTCAAAGGGGAATTTTGAGTATGTAGAGAGTGCATTTGATATCACAAACATAAATTTAATAAACTGTTTTTTTTTTAATTTTGCGCCCTATCCATCAGATGGCGCCCCAGGCGGCCACCTGTGTCGCCTGTCCCCTGTTCGTGCTCATGAGTGTCTGTCTGTCTGGTTTGATATTAAATCGGGTTTTTTGTGCCTCTGGACTTCGGTGCATCCGCCTTTAAAATAAAGGAAGTATTCTCTTCAACATCTCCTGCCTTGAGTCGTTCTGGGGATTCTGCATCTTGGGTCCTACCCTCCTGCTCTCACCGTGACAACAATGACCTGTGTCACTGGCACTGCCTGTTTTATATCACTTCATACCGACTTCTATAAAAGTGCATTCTTCTAATAAAAAATAAAGCAAATGTAAACATCCCTTTAATAATGTCAGTACATTATTAAGCATTAATAAACCATTAAAGTATTAACTGCTTAGCCACATTATGTAATGTATCACTAAGCAGACCCCCCGGCCCTTTGTCCCAACCTTATATAGTCAAGCTGGGGTGCTCAACATGGGTCTTTAACCGATATCACAATATGATGTAGTTGAACAGTAAACTTCTTTTACTAATGTGGAGTCTTTTTCTTTATAAAAGAAAAACTAAATAATTGTAGGTAACTAAAATCTCATCCTGCACACTTAAGCTACAGAAATGTAATGTGCGGCCAGTTGTGCCAAACTTGGATCTGTCGTATTTTGACCTGTTGAGTGAGAGAAGAAGTAGCTGGTATGTATGAGTTGTGTCATTAGAAGAGTAAAAACCAACACTGATAATAATAATAATAATAATAATGCAACCCAGGAAGAATCACAGCTTTTCTTTTAGCATCAATTTATTAATACAACTGTAGCTTTACATTAAATACAATAAAAACTAGAACCAACACAATTCATATCTCCCCACATTTTCTCTGTGATTAAAGCGATTTAAAAAACTGCAAAAATGTCATGTTTGGCTTCCAGACTGAACTGCTACGGTTTACAGCAGCTACGCCGAAGCGTTCAAATGTCTTTAATCAGATTAATAAATAAAAAGACGAACAACAAAAGAGAAAATAACAAGCATAATATACATCATTTGCCCCACACAGAAAGTAAGTTTGTAACGGTGCGCTACAAGAAACATTGGGTGTGTAACTCTGGAAATACATGTGTGGGTTTGATACGTACATGGTCACAGGAACACTGAGGGGTTTTCCTTTCAAAAGCATTTGCAAAACATGCAGCAAATACGCACAAACTTCAGTGGAATAGCATCTCTAGTTATACATTCGTTAAATAAATTTATGGTTTACGCAGCTCGGCTGTTTCTGGAAGATAAAAGACCATCTGGAATAAAACTACAGCTTTTACATCCCACAATTCCGTAAATATGAGACATGCTCATATCCCGGTTAGCAGCTCAAACAGGGTCAAAATGCTAACACACACGCAAACACATACACGTGCACGCGCACACACACAACAAAAACAAAAAGGAGAAGCTACATTAAATACAACTGAAAGCTGATACACAACACAGAAAATGTGCTCAGGTGGAAACTGTAAGACACTTTTAAAGCTAACTGTAGTGCTTTTACTTTAGCGTCACCAGTTTGCTACAGACGGCTCACCTGCTAAACACTGTGACCGACGCACTTCTGACTACAACCAGTGAACGATCCCAGTTCCCGAGGAACCCGCAAAGTTTCTGTCCTTTCATTTTCTTCCTGGACCTGCTCAATAGGAAGCCACAAAACAAATCTCACTACTGCACAGGTGTGCTGCATAGGTCAGGGCACTATCAGGTAGGATGATACGGTAGGCTGAGCACAGGTCACAAAGGTCCAGAAGGCTTACGAAGGGTGAGGTAATCTCAGTCCCAACTCTAAGGCATGTTTACGGTACAAGCAGCTCTGTCTTCCGGACAGTTGGGCATCTTAAAGTGGAATATCCAGATTACACAACATCCATGCAGGTACTGCCAATACCACAGACTTCACTTTAGATGGTTGATGCTTACATAATGTTTAAAAGTTAACATTTTTGAAACACATGGTCACGCTTTTGGTCCTGAACACTAGCTAAGAGCAGTGTGGTTTAGCTGTTAAAAAGCTTCAACAACAGGACTTCATTCTCCCATTTGTCTTTGACTTCTTGCCTCATTAGAAAGCATCTTTAATGTTTTTCAGTTGTCGTACAGCCAAGTCCATTGGGAGGTTGAATCTGAGGTGGCTGATGCGACCCAGGATGCGAAGTGCTCCTTCAAAGCCGGTCTGGGCCATGTAGCTCCAGGACTGGTAGTGCGGGTGTATCAGAGTACCGGATTTGCACAGCAGGTTCAGCCACGACACAAGCCGCTGCTCATTCAGAGCCATGCACACCAGAGCTTTGAACTCCGTGTCCGGTCCTCTTTTGTACCGTCCATGCTCTTTCAGAACCGCGTGAATGGCCCACAGGAAGGACTGCTTCGGTGTGACGGTCCCCGGGCCGCTGCCTACATTTAGGCTGAAGGACTGAGAGAGCTGGCGGGCCGGTGACTCCACAAACGCCTTACCGTTTTTGGAATGGTAGTACTTCACAAAGAGTTCCCATGGGTGCATTGTTTGTGGGGCAGGTCTGTAAGGCAGAAGGCAGGAAATGGGCGCCAACACCAAACTCATGGTTTGTGAAGGTGAGAAGAGGCCATGAGCCAATAAGTCCTTCAGGGCAGTCGCCAGCTCCTTCCTTACAGCTGTCGTCAGCTCATCTCGAGCCCCGAGAGGGGATGTGCTGGTGTAGCTGACCACATGCTCAACAGAAGGATGTCTGCGTGAACCCAACACTCGGACCTTCTCTACAGCTGCCTCCAGACGCTGCAGCAGAGGCCCATAGTCCAACCCAGCGGAGTCCTGAGACCACATGTTCTGTGGGACGTGACCGGTGGAGCAACCGAACTGACTCGCAGCAAAGATCTGCAGCACAGCAAGGGCCTTCTGGATGAGCTGGAGGCCGGTCTCATGCATCCTCTGGGCCTGATCCTGATCTACTGCTTGGTGAGGAGGAGAGCCAGGGTTAAAACGCACATGCTAGGAAAACAAACCTTCTCAGATAAGCTTTTAAATTGGAATGAAAAGCATGGATACAAAGTACATTTGTGATAGAGATTAGAGCGATATATCGGTAGACTGACACATCAGGTGCTGATTTAAAAGCAGGCACATCTGCAGGCTGCCTGGTGCTGCTGACAAATGTATATTTATGTCCCTTACAAAGCTCTGCTTAATAAATTAGTGATGGGAATTACGGCTCTTTTTAGAGAGCCGGTTCTTTTGGCTCAGCTCACCAAAAAGAGCCGGCTCTTTCGACTCCCAAGTGGCTCCTCAGATTTTCTGTTGCGTAGAGTACATTTATAACCAAAACAATGCTAGAAATCTCCACTTTCCGACTGCTGGCGCTCATTTTCTCACCGTCTTCGTCGCACTCTCCTCCCTCTCGCTCGCCTTTTTCCTCCTCCTCATTCCCTCTCGTCTCCCTCCTCCCACATGTGCTCTGCTGTGTGTCTGTCTGAGTATGATCCTCCCTCTTCCCCGCCCCTACTGCTCTGTGCGTGGACAGTCTGGACACACAGTTACACATGTTGACCAATCGCCTGTAGCTTTCACCAAGGCAGGGGGGAGGGGGGGAGGGGAGGGGACGGCTCCCAATGACGAGCCGGCTCCCGTCGTTCACTTCAAAGAGCCGGCTCTTAGAGCCGGTTCGTTCACGACCGACACATCACTATAATAAATGCTCTAAACATTTACTGATATTCACCTGTTTTGTGTGTTTAATAGATGGTTAATTATTTTAATGTTTGATGAACTTTGGTTAAATGTTTGATTTTAATATGGAGCACAAAATTAAGATTGAATAGTTCAACTCAGTGTGGTGCGACTGACTCATTTTGATCTTGGCTTTTTCTTCATTGTGATGTTTTGTGTGTTTTCATCGGTTCATCCTCTGTTTGAACCTATTTTGTCTTGTTAACCTCATTAGCTTTTTAATATCTCCATTTTATCTTCAGCTTTAGATGTATTTCTGGGATTGTTTTCTTGTATTGCCTCTTCTCTGTGCAGCACTTTCTTGGGCTCATTGGCCCACTGTGAAGTGCTTTAAAAACCAATTGGTATTGGTTGTTATTAGGGACATTTTAGCATGCAAGTAAGGCAGAAAACATCTAGATATCAGCCATGACAATTGGCCATTGGCTGACCATGACTTCTGCATATCAGCGAAAGAAAACCCACATCGGTCTATCTCTGAGACCTACCTTTCTTTTTTACTCCTGCTTTGGTCCCTGCTGCTTTCGGCTGCTGACTGGGTCCACCATCTGATAAGAGAGGGTTCCCCACTTCATCTTTTGGAAATAAACAGAAAAGGTCAGACTGAATAATAAGGCTAAAAAGTAGGAACTGGAACAAAGAATGAAGCATTTCAGTGAGACCCGGGGCCTGTGTACCCTGAATGAAGTTGATAAACATCTCCAGGTCCCTGATCTGGGTTTTCAGCTGCTCGACCAGCTGCTCTTTGACTCTCGCCGGGTTCACTATCTGAGCAATGGCGGCGTCCACTCTCTGCCTCAGCTCCTCAGGTGACAAGTTCCCAATGTCCTCGTTCAGATTCACATCCAGCTTCTTGATCAGTTCATCAATGATGACCTGGAAATGAGACACAAGCTGAACATCAAACCTGTTCTCTGTGATTTGATGGTTTTAAAAATGTGACGTTTTTTGCTTTGACAATAATTTATTTGTGATGACATATTTTGTTTGGTTTCCTGGAGTTTTTGGCAATTAAAAATTGTGCCCATATTTTCTAAGTAACACATCTCTTTTAACAACGGTAGTTTCTGCATCTATACTGCTCCGCTTCAGCCCTCTCCCCCCTCCCCCTGTGCAGCGGCCGCAAACCCACCGATGCGTCTGCAGCCTCTCGGAGTTCCTGCTGCTCTAAACATTAAAATAATTATTTCATTTTCTGTTCCTCACTTCTGATGACCTTCAATGGTGTCTGTTTGTTGCAACCACCAGGTACAAAAACTAACTTGTTTTTATTTGACTATTTTTCTGTCCTGCCTGTTTATTATCTTCCTGCATCTCCTCTCAATCCTAAAGAAAAACGGCTACCTGGGTTCATATATATTCACCTTATGAGTTACCTTTGAACTGCAGTTCTAAAAGATCTACAGACCGCAAAAACAGTGGGGTGCGCGCCGGCCGCACCGGTGAGGTGCGTCACCGGAGGACAAAACAGGTGATGCGCCCCGCTCCACAGCAGCGAAACGCATCAGGCACAAATAAAAGACAGAAAACATAAAAGGAAATGAGCCGACATGAACGATCGCGTGGTAAATTAGTTTTTGAGGTGGCGACACATGATTTGATAATGTTACTGTGGCCGTGCTCAGGACGCAGATGTCTGGAGCGCGTCAACGATCAGAGCTTTGCATGCGCAAGCTGGTTAAGGTTAGGATGGCGGTGAGGGGAATGTTAAATTGTAATAGGGTAAAGGTCACAATTCGGTCAAATGTCCGTTTTACGGCAGGCGTCAGCTACCGACGCTCTGGCGTCGCCTCCCGACGCGCAGGGGCTCATCGCCTGCTGTCTTTTCCGAGGACTGCATCTTGCCGGTCATTATCACGTGACAGCGACTAGTCGACGACAGGCATAAAAAGTCCCTACAGAGCAGTGAAGTCGACTAGTTGATACAACCCCTACTCCCTACATCCTAATGACACCTCCCTCTGTTGCGCAAAGGCGCAATCGTCGTTTACGAGACAGAAAATTACCACAGCAATACTACCAAGTGAGGCGGAACGAATGCCGCAAAATTTGTGCAACCTCATGCCAGCATGGCGTATTTATAAAACACACCGCTGAGGTAATATTACGCTGATTTGCCGCCACAGTGTGTCTCATAAAAAGGGCTTTAGTTTTTATTTTTAATCTCCACAGTTTATGTTAGAACATTGTTAAGAGGCACGAACTGAATGTTTTTAAGCAAATTTGTTTTTCAAATTAGCCATTGCAGCTTTAATTATAATAATAACCAACATCATCATCCGTTTTGGAGAATTTTATTCATTAGACTTTTGGTAAAAATCAGACACGACACCAAACTATTCAAATGAAAGCTAAATATATCAGCTCTGCAGCAGAGGCCAAACGATGGAAAAACCCACCAATAAAAAGTAGGTTTGATCATAGTAAAGTTATTATTCCTGATCCAATCTGAACTTACTGAACACACTGATGTGGCAAACCACTTCCTGATCCTCAACGTGAAGTCAGTGTTAGAACAACTAAGCTGCGTCTCACTAATCAGCCGTTCCAGGAGCCGTTTACTCTGGACTTCCTGAACTACACCTTCAGTTATGCAAACAGGGAAGTGCCACTCAGTTCTGGGACGAGCAAACAAAACGGAACACAAATACATCCAACATGTAAACTGGCTGCTTAGACAACATCTAACTGGCTGTGTGGCACACTGAGACAAACATCTGAATGTTTTACGTCCAACGTGGCAAGAGAACAAACGCAGCTTTCCAACAACACCGTAGTGGTCAGGGAATGTTTGTTTGACACCCGATCTTAAATAACGAAACAGCATTATTTATTTCCTGAACATAACTGACAACCCAGAAAAGAAGCCTCTGCTGTTTTAATAAGGTTGAAGGTTAAATTTGTATTTATGATTATAAAAAGACACCGAGAGGCTGATTACAGCTTGTGAGCATCAGTGGGGCCTGAAGCAGTGCGTTTTTGCATTTCTACTTTCATACCTTCTGTCTCTCCATGACAACAGACTGCGGCAACGAGTCATAGCTGCCCTCCTGGTAGGCGAAGCGTTCGAGATCGTCCAGCTGCGTTTTCAGCTGGAAAATGAGATCCTTTTGTTTTTCCCTCTGAGCCTCTAGGCGCTCCCTCTTCTCCCGCTCACTCTGGCAGGAAATACAAATACACAAAAGTAAATACTTAGAAATAAAAAGAGGCTGGGTTACTGTATAACAGGATTTGTGGAGCTGGATGTTCTGTTTAAGTCAATATATTTACATTAAACCGTCTAACAGAAATAATACTCACCAGATCCCCCTACAAATGAAGCATGTCACAAAGAAAACACAGAAAATGGTCTTTAGGATGAACACAATGTGTTCTAATGTCATTATGTTGAAATGTCACTTCATAGCATCAGGAACAAAAGACGCTGAGTGTAAACATCACTGAGTGTAAACTACTGCAGGTGTTTGTTTGTTTTAATTAGAACTAACTCATGATAGGGTAACATTTTCCATCAAAGATAAGAAAAAGTCAGAAACAAAAGACAGGTGGGCGCAGCGGCCTGAAGGGTGACGCAACGGCTCGGTCAGATTTAATCCAACAGCTCAGAGCCAGTGAATCATCGTGGTTCATTTGTGTGTGAAGCAAGGCGTACACGAGTCACACGCCAAGTGCTTATCCTCACTAATATAACTAGATTATTAATTTGATGCAGTAGGAATTAAAGTGTTTTGAAACATGCATAATGGCAAGCTACAAAATAGGGGCGTTAATGCTTTAGGGGAATAAGAGAAGAGAAACGCACTGATTCTGGTTTGAGGGCTAATACCAATTTTCCTATCATTGTAAACCTCTAACCTGCTGTTAACGATTCAAGCCGATTCTGATTCATCCTAAAGAAATACAATTACAGGAATACAATTTTCAACATCTGAAAATACGACTCAGGAAGTTAAAACTTCCACATTGACATTTAGTGTCACTAAATTGACTAATCACTATTCAGGCTGATCAGCTGAATATTGGTAGATTCTGGTTGCCAGCTGATATTTCTGTTGATTCTGTAAAACAAGATGACTTAATAACCACAAGTGGTTCAGAACTACTTAAATGTTTATTATATAAAGACCCCTTCCTACGATCTCCTTTATGAAACTGGAAATATCTTTCTGCCAGTGTGATTTGTCTTATTTACATATGCTTATATCACCTCAGTGATCAAGTGTTAATGGCAAATAAACTTTTCCTTAAACGTTCACAGAGAGCTGGAAGAGTGGAGGTTTATGTTTGTTTATACTTTGACGGTGTGGACTGGAAGCTCACCGAGTTCTCCAGCTGTTTGGCATCATGAGCTCTGCAGCCCAGGACATGAGGGCAACCCCTGAAGGCGAAGTCCTCCAGCTCCGCCAGCATCCTCTCCTTCTCTTCGCTCTGGGCGTGGACAATCTGCTTGAGTCGGAACTGAACCTGAGCGAAGTGAGAGGTCAGAGCGAGAAGAGAAGAATTCAGCAGGTCCTGCTCCTCTTCGAGCTTCCTCAACCGGGCGGCCATCTCTTCATCGGAGGCCGACAATAATCCTCTTAGTCTCGGCTGCCCACCGCTCTCATCCTCGGGGCTGGCCACAGCGCCCACCGGTGCCCATCGCTCTCCTGCGCCGGCGAACACAGCCTCGCTGTCCGAGGCTGACAGCTCCTCTGTGGACATGTTGGACGACGTAGTTTACTCCAGCCCTTTACTGTTGGTCCTCAGTTTGTTACCGCCGTGTTTCAGATGGTTAGTTGTCTAGTAGCGCGCCGAAGACAAAAAAAAAAAAAAAAAAAAAGACATCGCCGAACAAACAGGTGCTTCGCCATCTTGGGAAAGATGATTCATACGTCAGGGAGGAACAAGCAGGAGTTACAGGGAATCACCGGAAGTTGTGAATCTTTACCTTCAAAATTAAAGAAGAAGATTGTCCCCCAACCCTGTTGGAAATTTTTGTCTTGCTGAACATAAAAACAATATTCGTGCTTTAGAGAAACTATAAATATAAGAGCAACCTTATGTAATCCGTATCTGATTTCTTATCAGAATTCTTTTGTCAGTAATATTATTTGGAAAAGAACACAGACAATTCCTAACAAGTATTTTCTAACAAATAAGGTCAAGAATTCTCATTCAAATTACTTCATAAATGTTATCCAGCGAATCGTTATATGACAAAGTTCAAGTGGGACATTCGAGTCATTGGGTGTTGGGTATATTTTATTATACATAAAGCCCTCCCATTTCTGTCTAAATTTGCTAATGAGTGCAAATGGACGGTTGCCACCACCGTCATCTTGGCCATGTCACACCTGCCGTCACATCCAGACATATCCAAAAATGGGAAAAGAGGTGGAGCTGAGAGTGGGCTGTGCGGGTGAGAGCAAATGATTGACACTCAAAGACTCTGAACCAACATAAACTGAGCTAAAAGGCAGATTGCGGATCTCTGATCAAAAGGCCAACGCTGCTAAAGGGAGAGAAACATTACCAAAACTCGGCAAACCTCCCTTCTGCAGGTGCGACCTCACGGATCTTTGACCGTGGTGGACCAACGAAGCCTCCACTTGCCTAGGTTACCTTACCTAGCTCCACTTTTCTTACCTAGCCAGCCCTACCAACACGTTATATTTCAACCCATCTTTGACTAAGCAGTAGTGTTAAATGCACACTGCACACAGCTGCGCAAAATAAGACCCTTACTCCACTCCCACCTTATGTTGCAGCAACAAATGCTGTTGCCTGCAGAGTGACAGGGCGGAGCCACTAACAAATGCACACACACACAAGCTCAGAACAACATTGTGACATCATAATGTACCAGCTAACGTCATGGTGTACCTCTTGGCCAACAGCAATGGCAGATTTAAATTCAAATGTGGTGCAGAGTTTTTACCTGAAGATGGCACCACACTGACAGTTTTAGGCAGAATATTTAAATTTTAACTAAGATGCAGTAAAGTGCCAAATTATGGACTACATGTGTATAGAGCACGATTAGACACTCCTAGTTTATCAGCAAAAAAAGCTGATTTGGGGTTGACTTGTTCTATAACCTCAATACTTGAGACCCAGCAGATATAATATGTCAAGCAGTGTGATAAATGTAACAAGGTTTATTATTTTATCAAATTTCACGTTTTTCAGGGTTTTTAAATAAGAGAAACAGAAAAAAATATTTGCAAAACAGGACTTCTTCACCAAATTCCCCAAGATCTGGCTGCAGACTCTCTTTCCACAGTCACCGCTGCAGACCGATGCTGCAGACAAAAACCTGCAGCTAGGAAAGACGGTTTGCAGTGACATGAAATAGCAAATGTAGTAGAGCTCTTCCAGCCAATCAGAGGCGAGAAAGCCGGGACCTTCCTTGGACGTCCTACGATTCCAAAGCTTCCAGCGTCTGGCCGGAGGAGGAGGGGACTGGCTCTGAAAAACTTATGTTTTGAAAGAGGGGCTTATCCATCCGACATATAAAAAATTTCAACTAGTGGTATTATTTTAAAAAATCAATAAATAAAAGTGGGCCCCTTGAAAGCCAGTGTTGGACACCGTTTTAAAAACGGAATTCAAACAATATTTCAGTTTTTTGTTTACATTTTTGTAAACCAATACATTGGTTTTTTTAATGAATTGTTCTTGAATTAAAAGAAATAAATAACGACAGTTGAAACCTACTTCCGGAAGTGACGTAGGAAAATGAGCGGGTCAAAGGTGACTAGATCCTTTAGCACTTCCTTTCCTGCTAGCGGTGGCCGTAGAACAGCATCAGTGAGTGAATTTTTCTTCCAAGTAATCCTCATCCATCGTGCCAGAGCTACCTTGTGCTGTAGTTTGTATTTCAACATATGCAAAGCAGTCATCCCCTTTTCAGTATACATTCGTTATTATGTTCGTTTCCCATTGATTTATGAAGAAAATTAGCGCTTTAGAGTGGAAACATTTCTCATCCTCCGCTCTTTCCAACATGGCAGCTTCCTTAATGTAAACGCTGAGTTTAACTCATTGCCGTACTTGCTGGAGTATTTTTTTAATGTATTAACAATCTGTTAGTTTAATTTAGGACACATTTCAGGTTGAGTTAAAATAGTTCGTAGAGAACGTGAGAGCAAAATAAATGTTTAAAACTGATTTATTAGCTGTTCCGTAGCTGAATGCTAACTACGATACAGTTCCAACGAGGCCTAGACTCATGTTTAATGATGGCATTTGGTGTGTGTGGGTCAGCACTGTTTTGTTGAGTGAAACGGATACCTAAAGTGTTTCTTCTTACAGCAATGGGCAAGTTTATGAAGCCTGGAAAGGTGGTGATGGTCCTAGCTGGACGCTACGCCGGACGTAAAGCGGTAATCGTGAAGGTAAAACTAGTCATTTACTGCTGGATTGTGATGGCTCTGTGAAAAGTCACGACACAATACAGAAACTACAGATATCAGGTCAAGACGTGACTGACGGGTTTTTGAAAGACCTTCATGGAAATGTCACATTTAGTGGAAAGAAATGTTCAATAATCGTACTGGTATAGTGCCTTTCAGAGTCCAAGAGGACACCAAAGTGCTTTATAATACAGCAGGGGTATGCAATGTGGGGCCTGGAGATCTGATATCCAGCACATTTTTAGTTTTAACTCCATCAACACACCCGATTTCAGTCCGCAGGTGATTAACAGGCTTCTGCAGAGCCTGATGAGCTGCTGCACAGATGCATCAAATGTGTTGAATCAGAGAAACCACTGAAACGTGCTGGGTACTGGACCTTGAGGACCAGAATTGAATACCCCTGCACTACAGTGCAGTTCATACATTCACACACTGGTGGTGATTAGACAATCTTGGTTCTCGAGTGATGCTATTCAGCATATTTTAGTTGCAACACTTCTGATCCAGTGGTTGAATCACCTGTTCAGCTGCTCGAGCTCTGCAGAAGCCTGTTAATTACCAGCTGATTAAAATCGGTGTGTTGAAACTGGGGACGTAATTAAAACATGCTGGATGGCAGCACTCGAGAATCAGGATTGCCTACCCCCAATCTATGATTTAGCCACAGCTGCCCTGGGTCACTGACAGGCGAAGATGCCAAACAGGCAGCACTGGTCCCTTTTACCACCACCAGCAGCCAAGGTGAGAGAGGTGTCTAGCTAGGGCTGGGCGATATGGCCTAAAATCAATATCATGGTATATTGAGGAGTTCACCTCGATAACGATAAATGAACGATAACTACATGTATGTGCAAACCCAACCCACACACCTTTCCATTTTTTTATTGAATTTATTGCCATGGAAAATTAGGACAATAGATGTAATAGATACATTTTCTATTAATTGCCCAGCCCTATGTCTTGCACAAGGACACAACAGCAGAGTTCTCTGCCTGTAGCCCGATCGATCCTACAGCCAGATAACTGGTCATCCCGCTCAGAATGTTGAAAATTTCTAGCAGCAGCTGTCATTGTTCTTTGTGGCAACATTTATGTTTAAATTTGTACCAAACCTGATTTTACAATTTATTGATCTCTTGGCAGAACATTGACGATGGCACCGCCGACCGTCCCTACAGTCACGCTCTGGTTGCAGGCATTGACCGCTATCCCCGTAAAGTGACCACAACTATGGGCAAGAAGAAGATCGCCAAGAGGTCCAAGATCAAGGCCTTTGTCAAAGTTTTCAACTACAACCACCTCATGCCCACCAGGTCAGTGTCACAATGCCACACTGTTTTTTTGTGTTTTGCAAGTTTTATTGAAAAGGTTGTTGACTGTTCAGATCAAAAGCTTTCACCCCCAAATTCCACTACCTCCGCTCCGACACGAACGCCGGAGCAAAATCGGTCCCGTTGTAGTCAATCAGAGCAATTCCACTACTGCGGCCGTGCTCCGGCAGTGCGGCGCCATGCGCCGCCCTCTGTTCCGGCGTCCAGCAAAAATAGAATCGATCCTATTTTTGCCGGAGCACCTCCGCAGTCAATGGACAGAAATCACAACGGCCCAACAGGAAAAGGAGCAAGCACAACTTCCGTTTTTCACAATAAATCAATAAACAAAAGGCGTTTCTTGTTTCATATGAACAGGTTTAACAACTTTTAACAACGATCAATGACGGCTGAAGTTTAAATGCACAAAAGTAAGCCATAAATACAGTTTCTACTATCAAAGTAGTCACACTTTGTTGATCCAAACACTGCTGATCTCTCAACACAAATGACGGGCAGATTAAACAGTTCATGCCGATGCTTCTCCCACACAACGGGTGTTTGGTTCTAACTTCTGCGTTTATTGCTCGGACTGTATCGCAAGATCTCAAAAATCCCGCGCATGCTTGTTTGCCCAGCTCAGGTCTCCGCACCGGAGCGGAGCCGTTGTAGAGCGGGTACCAGTAAAAATTGAGTTCGGAAGCGAGCGGCTGCGGAAGGAGGGGGCGGAGCGGAGGTTGTGGAATTTGGGGGTTAGGCTCTGCAGATTAGTTACAGTGGAAATCGGAAGGTACAATTTCAATCACATAATTTACGGTACAGCCATCTCACATCAAGCCTAGAAATATGTGAATAACACGGCTTTTTGTTGTGTACACAGTAGGGATGGACAATGTATCGGTATCAGCCGATGTTAGTCATTTAACATATCGGTATCGGTCCGATAAATAAAACCAGGCCGATATTCACAACCGATATATTTCCCATCTTGTCTCCATTTGTTTATCGTGAGGGTGAGGGGGGTGATGTGTAATTGTTTAGTCATGTGATTGTAATCATCTCATAAGTGTAAATGTGTGTGATGTGTGTACGTAACATAAATTCAGCTTTAATCGTTTTCATTCTATACAAAAGCTGCTGATTTTAGAAGCATTAATGTCGGTATAACGATATCGGCAAATACTGGTTATCGGCCATAACAGTGATCTTAATATCGGTATCGGCCCAAAAATTTCATATTTTATTTTGTGTGATTTTTCAAGAGAATGTAGGCATGAAATCTATTTATAAAACCATTTTAATAAACTCAGAAGGAAGCTTGTAGTTATCTTTGAGATGCATGAATTTGTTTTGTTGATCAGATGTGCTGATGTGGGGATTTCTGGTTTATCCCCGATTTCTCCTCAAAACCTTCAGATGATCTTCGTTTCTAATAATGTATCATAACTTAAGTAGAAGCAGCAGTGTCTTTCGTTATTACCCTTCAGAACAGAAATATTTTAGATCATTTTCTGGTGGCTAACCCCCAAATTCCACTACCTCCGCTCCGCTCCGACACGAACGCCGGAGCAAAATCGGTCCCGTTGTAGTCAATCAGAGCAATTCCACTACTGCGGCCGTGCTCCTGCAGTGCGGCGCCGTGCGCCGCCCTCTGTTCCGGCGTCCGGCAAAAATAGAACCGATCCTATTTTCGCCGGACGCCGGAGCACCTCCGCAGTAAATGGACAGAAATCACCATCGCCCAACAGGAAAAGGAGCGAGCACAACTTCCGTTTTTCACAATAAATCGATAAACAAAATGCGTTTTTTGTTTCATATGCACAGGTTTAACAACTTTTAACAACGATCAATGGCGGCTGAACTTTAAATGCACAAAAGTAAGCCATAAATACAGTTTCTACTATCAAAGTAGTCACACTTTGTTGATCCAAACACTGCTGATCTCAACACAAATGATGGGCAGATTAAACAGTTCATGCCGATGTTTCTCCCACACAACGGGTGTGGATCTCACTTCCGCGTTTATTGCTCGGACTGTATCGCAAGATCTCAAAAATCCCGCGCATGCTTGTTTGCCCACCTCAGGTCTCCGCACCGGAGCGGAGCCGTTGTAGAGCGCATACCAGTAAAAATTGAGTTCGGAAGCGAGCGGCTGCGGAAGGCGGGGGCGGAGCGGAGGCTGTGGAATTTGGGGGTAATTGGTGCGCTGGATGCTTCTGTTGGATATAATGCATGCATTTATGGTGTTAGCTAGCTTAGAATAAACAAACTCTATGAGGCTGTTCTGTTAAAGGAAATATTGACTTTGCCAGTGAGATTGTCAAAGATTAAAAGTGTTCAATGCTTTTTGAAATTTGAGCAAAAGTAGCTTAAGCTTGAGTGTGACAAGTTCAGGCTTAATGTACCGCGGTGCTAAAGTGTTTCCATTTAAATTTCCTGCCGTTAGATTTAGGATGTCCTCAGTATGCTAACTGTAAAGGCTGCTCTCAGCCGTGGAGTGGTGCTCATTTTGCCTTCCTTCACTCCCAGATATTCTGTGGATATTCCTCTGGACAAAACTGTCGTCAACAAGGATGTCTTCAGGGATCCTGCTCTCAAACGCAAAGCCAGGCGGGAGGCTAAAGTCAAGTTTGAGGAGAGGTGAGATTCCGTATTCCTAGAACAGCACGACTCTTGTTTAAATGTAAATGCTCACCTGCTATCTCGTGAAAGCCTAGTTTATTCTTCTACACCAGCAACTTTGTGTTTACACCCACGCGTATTGACTAGAAGTTTATGCTTCTCTGTTGGTGTGAGTGTTGTGATTCTCCGCCAGCAGGGGGCGTAGCGCTTTTCTGGTGCACCCTGCCACTATTGCAGTCAGGTCTTGTGTGTTTACATTGTTATGTATTTCAGACACTTTTAACACAAACAAATTTGTCCTCCACCTCCTCATCCAGTCACCACCTCTGTAATTTCCTGACACAAATAAAAAGTTTGCTCTGTGTCTTTGTACTCCTTCAGGCATGATTATTACTGTCTGACATTTTCCACGAGACATTCTTCTTTCTGCTCCGTGTATGTTGCTAGATGCCTTCAGTTTAAATTGTTTTGAGGGGGAATGGCGGTGCTGTCTGCAAAGTTAAAGGAAGCAGCATCCTGACCAATCACAGGCTTGCGGACGGATGATGGTGTTCCGTGTCTGTGCTGATGCAGTATAAACCAGGCTTAATGTGTGAACTCGGCTGGCTGTGGAAATGTAATTAAAACCTGTTGTTTTGTCATTTTTAGGTACAAGACGGGAAAGAACAAGTGGTTCTTCCAGAAGCTCCGGTTCTAACTTCACTCAGTTTCACAAAATAAATGTTTAAAAAAATGAATTTCGACTCATTTTTTCCATCAGTGTGTCATTTTGATTGCAGGGGGTGTTGTTGGACACATTTGTCAAATATCAATACACATATTCCTTTTATGATGCATTTAAATGTGTTCTGAGCAGTTTCTTGAAAACTAGTTAAGGAAATTGTTTTCAGACCACTTGATCATTAACTTTTTAATTTGCGTTATCTAACCGCTATACACGACATGGAGATGAGAGCTCTGAACAAGAGAACGGTCAAAGATGAATGACCATACCGTGCTGCTGCGTCAGCCTGCAGAGGTTCTTGCTAAACTGTTTAGTTTCGTTAACCAGGGTGAGTTAAATGAAATTGGGAAGAAACTATGGTTTACTTTAAGTTGGAGTAGATGTTTGCTTGTTTTTATCCGCTCCTCCCCAGAGACAATGGACTTGGTCGCAATGTCCCCAGGTAGTGGAAGGGTTTGTATTTGGAGTTCATCTATCATCAAATCCTACTTCAGCCCACAGCCTCCTGCTGGTATTGTCAGCAAAAATGAAATGAGCAGCTCAGATTTTTATTGCAATCTTATGTTTTAGTATTTTCAGCAGCAACTTGGGCTGAAATCTTTGAAACTGGTCATCTGGCTTTAAAGTTTAAATATATGACAATGTTATATGTGTCAGTAAAGTAATGCAATTTTTATTAACATAATAGAAGTATCCTACTGGCATCAAAAGCATCTAAGTCATTACTAATTATGTTAATTTAACTGCTTTCTAAATGTTAACAAATGCCCATCAGCTTATTGACTGGTTGTGTAATCTCAATTGAACCTGAGACCCAAGCTTCACCAGCTAAGATCGGAAGCCTATGACCTCAAACATAAAATCAGTAAGTTCAAATGGAATAAAACAGAAAATCCCTTTGTTGTCCCTCTGAGGAAATCTTGGTGTAACATTCACAACAAAAATAAAATAAAACCAAACCGATACAATATCTTGCCCAAGGATCCTTGGACGTGAGGAGACGACACCTGAACGCAGCGTGGTGTGTTTATGGAGTGCCCTCTAGTGGAGAAAGTGAGACCTACAGTCCTTCCTGCCAGCTAGAAAAAGAAACCGAAAGCATAAATGAAACTTACGGGCAGAGGTCGTCGGCAGGAGGTAAGGTAACATCCAGCTGGTCATTATTGAAAAAATACGTTTTAAATGTTCATCTAAACACATTTCTGTTGAACAGGTGGCCAGATTTACTGTAGCGAAGTGAGTTAATGAGTTTCGATAGCGGCTCTACACATTTATTACTACTAAGGTCACTTATTTTGTTGTTGACGCGCAGTTTGTGTTTTTCTTGTTGCTTAAATAGTTTACGTTCATGTTTGACACCAAGCTGATTAAATATAATTACTCTTTTCAGGTAACTTTCACTATGTCATCAGACGAGGTGAGACGTCATTCTGCTTTGTGTTCTTTTTTCCATCCTGGACGGTAACTTCCACACGGACGGATTGTTGTTTGGTGTCCATCTTAATTTTTCCGTCTTTGTTGATGATCATCAGTTAATAACTCTAACTCTTGTCAGGAATTCTCCCTGGTGACGGACCCAGACCCCTCAGAAAAAACCCTGGAGGGAGTCAAGGCTTTAATCAGCAAACACAAGGTGAAACTGCAATAACTATCCGACAGTACAAATAAAATCACAATAACAGATCTCTAGTTAAATTGTGCTCAGTTGTTTCTAGTTTACATTATTTTTAAATATGTCTTGCTGTATTTAACCAATTGTAAAGCATCAGTGTCAATGGACACCTTTTGAAAAGCAAATAAGTGAAAATATGTTGGGAAGCAAAAATTCCTTAGAACTAGTCAAGAGACACGGACGTCTCTGTCTGATTTGACTGGGTAGTTATAGCACTATAATACTTTTCAAAGCATTACATTTGTGTTTTACACCCGTTTTTCTGTTTTTTAGAAACTAAAATTCAATAATAGATCAAATTCATGTAAGAGACAGTTCTGAAATACGCTTCCTGCTGGTGTATTAACAGAAACAGTATGAGGCTCTGCTGGAGGACCAGAAAGACCTGACCTCTAGCAGAGACGAACGGCGAGACCTGACCACACAGTTCAAGGAACGCACCAAAAAGCTGACCGTGGATCTGGAGAAGGATGAGAGCTTCTACAAAGATGAAATAGAGAATCAGAAGGTGTGTAAAGTCGTTCTGTGATGTGTGAGCATCATCACACAGACATTAGGTCATGGTGACTTTATTAGTGCCTGTAGATAAGTTTGTTATAATTCTTTGAAGACTTTATTAAAATGCAGCAAAAGGCAGAAGAGCGCCGGTTGTAAGTGATGCTAAATCAGCTGCAGGCCAATGGCTAGCTGTTGTTGCAGGTGATGGTTTTTTTCTAAAGTGTTGTTGCCTCAGTCTCACCCCACCAGCACAATGGATGCCCACATCTCAGATAGCATCCACATCCGCTGTGGTTCACGCACTATCGCCTCTGGAGACCACAAGGCTGAAGTTAGCCTCCGATTGGGGAAATGGCTAAAGGGCAATTACACCCAATCTTTCTCTACTCCAACCATCAGCTCAAAAACTACACCACCCACTCTGTTCACACCTGTACTGGATTATCCTACACTAATAGCAGATTGCATAAAACGTAGTTTGTGCTTTGTGAAACTTCTAAACAGATTTTGTTTTTTGGGTGATATGTAGCAGATACAGAACACCCACAACTAGGCTCAAATTTGTTTGATGTTTGTGTGTATTAATGAAAAACAAGAAGAAATATCCAGCCTCAAACTTTTTTATCCAACCGCATTCCAGAGACCTACAGATAATTGAACGTCTCTCCGTTTCTGCTCTGAGTTTCATGAGAAGCTCCTCTTTTTCACTGCAACAAAAATTCAGTTATTACATATTTCAACATTCCAAAAGACATACGAAACGACATTTTGTTGCAGCTATCTTTCAGTGGCTCAAATTTTCTTACCAGTCATCCATCTCAACATACTCAATTCCACTGCCTCAGGCTGGTTAGCCCTTTGACCTTTTCGAGTGCTTTTGTTGATGGCCGTGTTACACAAAACTGTTCATTAGAAAAATCTTTTTACAGATTTATTGTGCTTGTTAATATTTTTTAATTAAAATATTAAATGATAATAATAAAAATAATACATTTATAATTTATAACTGGTCATCGTGATTCATAATGATTCATCATCTGGCTTTGTTGAAGCTTCACAAACAGTGTAGAATAATTCAGTGCAGATTTGAACAGTGTGGGCGGGGCAGTTTTTGAGCCAGAGCAGATTAAAGATGGTCAGAGCAGAGAAAGATTGGGTGTAATTGCCCTTTAGCCATTTCCCCAATCGGAAGCTAACTTCAGCCGCGTCTGGAGACCTCTGAACATTCTGTGGCTCTAATAAACTACTTATCAGCTCCATGCACAAGTTTTTCTCTGTATCATGATGTAAACATCAGTTCTCTACTTAATCCATGCACTCTACATTGCTATTGTACTTTATTCAGAAGAAGTGATTATTGCTGTTTCAGAAAGAAACCAATAGTATATAGCACTGAGTCAGCTCATCTTTGTGTTTTTAATGACATTTTATTAACCCTTGACTCTGGTTCTAATGTATTGCTGGGTTTGTTGGATCTATCTGCTGCTTTCGACGGTTGATCACGGTAGTCTGCTGACTCGGCTGAACCAGCTGGTCGGCATCCAGCGGACTGCCTTAGATTGGTTTAGGTCCTACTTCTGTGACCGCAGCTTTAATGTTATTATGGGTAGTGCTGCCTCCCCCTCTGCAGCTTTGACTTGTGGTTAGGGCTGGGCGATGTGGCAAAAATAGAATATCACGATTTTTCCAATATTTTATCACGATTTCGATTTTATCACGATTTTTTATCCATGAATAGCATAACTTCAATTGCGTATTAAAGAAGAGAAACATTGAATAAATAAACATTTGTTCATATTAGGGATAATCAGCACAGTGCTAACGCACTTATATTTTAAACTCACACCAGAGATGATAAAAGCCCTGAGAGAAACAATTACAATTAAAGCTGCAAGCAGCGTCGTTCGGCCCTCGCAGCTCCGCGCCGCTCCGGCCTGGCTGGCAGCCCGGGGCACCAGGGCACGTCCGCGGAACAGAAACGTCGACCACCCCGACACCAGAAACCGCAAGCGATCACCTCGTCCGCATCTCACCCTGACTCAGCATCCCCTCTGAGCACACCATTATATTACACGTCTCACAACTAGGGCATACTCTACCTTTACGACTCTGGTGGTGTGATGACACAGACCAACTGTAATGCTTTTCTGACCACGCTGTTTGAAGTTATTGTAGGTTAAACTTATCTTGGTGCACTGGAAAGCTTTCAGATCTTGACAAATATGGGCATTTCACCATAAAACAATAGACTTCCTGTAGTAGGGGGCGGGACTTAGGGGATGTCAGCTGTCCACATTGTCATTGTCTTTAGATGTGGTCAGTGATCACACAGACAAAGTTTGATATAGATCTGATCATGCACATGGGAGTTATTGTCAAGAAATGTAATGGCGAAAGGTCAAAGTTTGAGGCTTAGCCACGCCCACACCTTTCAACTTTTGAAAAATCCGACGGTTGAATTTTTTTCCCTATGACTTAAGAGGATATATCAGAAGTTTGAAGGCAATTGGTGAAAAGGACGATGGGGCATAATACTCCAAACAATGCCTGCGAAAACCACTAAATCGAGTACTTGGACCAAAACGGCCGACTTCCTGTACGACTTTGCACTTGGCTCCAAGAGACTTTTTTGTAGGTCCTGAGACACCACATTAGTGTATCAAATTTCGTAATCCTCAGTCAAAGCATGGCTTGGGGCTATTAGTTTAAATGGTCCTAGGGGGCGCTATTTAAGGAAATAGGCCACGCCCACAAACTTCAGCTGTCTATTTCTCTTGGGGGTCAGACTAGGATCACTCATCAGAAGTTTCGTAGCGATATCACGATAACTGAAGAAATGAGAGGCAAACGTATTTCCATGGCTTGATGGCGATTTTCGGCATGCTCCCAAAGCCCCGCCTTTTTTCGAAACCTGCCAGTACTGGATACCAAGTGACCTCAACTTGTCAACTGCTTTTTGCCAGAGATTCCTATTGATTGGGTAAAAGGAGTCCAATAGGGAGATGTGAAAAAAAGAGTGGCGTGGTGAAAGGTCAAAGTTTGAGGCTTAGCCACGCCCACATCTTTCAACTTTTGAAAAATCCGACGGTTGAATTTTTTCCCCCATGTCTTAAGATTATATAGCAGAAGCTTGAAGGCGATTGGTGAAAAGGGTGACGGAGCATCACTCTCCAAACAACGTGTGCGAAAACCACTAAATCGCGTACTTGGACCAAAATGGCCGACTTCCTGTGCGACTTTGTGCTTGGGTCCAAGAGACTTTTTTGTAGGTCCTGCGACACCACATTAGTGTACCAAATTTCGTAATCCTCAGTCAAAGCATGGCTTGGGGCTATCAGTTTAAATGGTCCTAGGGGGCGCTATTTAAGAGAATAGGCCACGCCCACAAACTTCAGCTGTCTATTTTTCTTGGGGGTCAGACTAGGATCACTCACAAGAAGTTTCGTAGTGATATCACGATAACTGAAGAAATGAGAGGCAAACGTATTTCCATGGCGTGATGGCGATTTTCGCCATGCTCCCAAAGCCCCGCCTTTTTTCAAAACCTGACAGTACTGGAGACCAAGTAACCTCAAGTTGTCTACTGCTGTTTGCCACAGAATCCTGGTGATTGGGTAAAAGGAGTCCAGTAGGGAGCTGTGAAAAAAAGAGTGGCGTGGCAACAGATCAAAGTTTGAGGCTTAGCCACGCCCACACCTTTCAACTTTTGAAAAATCCGACGGTTGAATTTTCCCCCCTATGTCTTAAGAGTATATAGCAGAAGTTTGAAGGAGATTGGTGAAAAGGGCGACGGAGCATCACTCTCCAAACAACGTGTGCGAAAACCACTAAATCGCGTACTTGAACCAAAATGGCCGACTTCCTGTGCGACTTTGCACTTGGCTCCAAGAGACTTTTTTGTAGGTCCTGAGACAACACATTAGTATACCAAATTTCGTAATCCTCAGTCAAAGCATGGCTTGGGGCTGACAGTTTTAATGGTCCTAGAGGGCGCTATTTCAGAAAATAGGCCACGCCCACCGGATGTTGACATAAGATTTTTTGAGGGGCCAGACTAGGATCACTCACAAGAAGCTTCGTGACGATATCTTTAGAATTGACGAAATGGGAGGCAAACGTATGGCCACGGCGGTACGCCTGACTTCGCCGCGCCGCCACAGCCCCGCCCTCTGCCGAAAACTCCCATAAAGTGATGCTAAGCAACCCCTACATGTCTTGAGTTACCAGCTACAAATTTGTGGTGATTGAGTGAAATGGGGCCATTTGGGACCTTTCACAGTAAAACTTGACCTTTTTGGTCCTGAGGGGGTGGGGCTTGTGTGATGTCATCATCCGACCATTCAATTTACTTTGTGGGTGGATGACGAATGACCACAGAAAGTTTGGTAACTCTATTCCATTCAATTATGAAGTTATAGCAGTTTAAAATTTTTTGGCGAGTAGTCAAACTTCGAGGCCTGGCCCCGCCCCTTCAGCATATACGAAAAGTCAGAATCCTTGTCTCATTTTGTTCGCCCATCCCTTCTGAGCAATTTTACACAATTTTTTAGATGATTGTGCGAAAAATGATCGAGCAATCCAATCAGAAACTGACCCTAAAAACGGCAAAAACGGCCAAAAATCGCCATTTCAACCCAAAATGGCCGACTTCCTGTTTGATATTGATCATGCTTGCAAGAGACTTTTCTGTGCGGACTGTTGAGTACTACAAGTGTACCAAATTTCATAACTGTACGATAAACTAAGCTTTATGGAGAGGGTTTTTTTTCACCTTCTAGGGGGCGCTGTTCAGCCATTTTCTTTGCGATTTTTTTGGGACCTTTAAAATATCAAATTTTTCACCAGGCCTGACAAGTTTGCAAAATATTATGAGTTTTGGGGTATGTTAAGGTCCCAAAAAAGCCATTCATTTCGCGCACGGAATAATAAATAATTATTAAAGCTGCAAGCAGCGTCGTTCGGCCCTCGCAGCTCCGCGCCGCTCCGGCCTGGCCGGCAGCCCGCTGCACC